GAAAAAGGACGATCGATACCATCCTGAAGCGAGGCAGACGCTGGAGATAGTGGGCATTGAAAACTTCCATGTTGAAAATTAGTCTTAGTTTTGTGGAGTTTTTCTTGGGAACCAGAAAGATGGGGGAAGAGAACCCCGGAGTGCTGGGCGCTGGACAGAGAGACTGGACTGCACACTTTTCTATAAGCGTACCTATGGTGGAGCACAGAAACTGGATCTGGTCCGCGGGGTAACTGTGATGTACCGGATGCACTGTCAGAGGAGGGTGCCCGATGACTAGAAGTTGGTAGCCGCTGTAGAGAAGGTTGGTCACAAAAGGATCATCTAGGATGGTCCAATTGGCAGTGAACCTCCTTAATCTCACGCCCACTGGGGAGTCGTAATTGGGGACGGCTGGAGGTGGGAATTCCCAGTATGCCATTGTTTCGACGAGTTACTGCATGGGGGCCCCACTCCCAACCCCGGGGTCAGACTTGCGAGCATGTCTGGAGGAGGTGCCACAAGAGGACTTGCTACCTCTACTTCAGGACGACTGGCCACACAAAACCTGACCAAGTTCCGGATGAGATGGCACGAAAAGAGGAGTCTGTCTCTGTTTCAAGGAATCTTGCAGATGGGATTTCTGGAGTTTCAGTAATTTCACCGAAACTTGAAATTGAGGTCCTTATCCACCTTCGCTGAAACCTCCCCAACCATGCCATTAAATAATGACTCTGAAGACCACGGTTGACAGAACAGCTTAGCCTTAAACCTGTCATCCCACGAAGACAAACTGAGCAGCCACGACGCCGAACTGCCAAGAGATAACCAAGGAAATGAGACAGCTGGTCCAGTATGATCTGAAATTGGGACATACAGCCCATAATGTAAGCATCTTGGTAGGAGAATGAATGCTCTACTGATGCCACAACTGCGTCCACCGCCGAGATGATGCAGTTAATCGAGGGTAAGGAGCGACGAACAGCTGTGTCCATGTGAAACAGTTCTGTCCTCAACTATAGTTTGGCATGAAATGCATGTGGACCCGTTTTTTTGTAAATATCTCTTCATCCAATGACCCAATCGATCTCAAACTGTGCAAGTGGATGTTTTGTCAGACAACCTAATCACATTGTAAATCACCGATTTTATGCATTTGTATTAAAGAATCTGTCTATGTAACCGTCAACAAAATAAACAGCAGAACGCAGAATGCTTGCAGAGGGAGGGAGCCAATGACCTGTAACAGCGGCAGTGTTGGGTCATAAAGGTCAATGCACGTGCAGTTCATGATAGTTACCTGTGCACTGCACAGTGATAGACCGTTTGAATCATTCACATTGACTACTTCTAGCTGACATCATGAAAGCTTATTTAGATTATGCTAAACGTTTAATTAGAAATGTGTTGAATTTTTTATAAAAAAGAGAGCAAACGTAGCAAACCGCGCCGATTTATAAGGTGTCGGTTTACATGAAACGTACAACTTTTGCTCTTGGCATGAAAAAGAACATCGTGCTAAAAATTGTGAAAAATAAACCAACAACCAATAAACAAAACCTTGTACAAAAAGGTAGGCATCCAAAGTTAGATTCTTTTGACATCAGGGTCATCAGAGATGTCATTCGCCGGCTATTTGCAAAATTTAAAGATGTTAACCTACAGAATAATTCGCACTAATGGGTTTTGTGGTTAATGTTGAACAACTCAGAGAAACTAACTCCATGGTGGTTAACAGTTGGCACCCACCTTACCCTATTCACGACCTGTGACACCTCTTCATACCTGTCACGTGCATAGCTGACCTACATTGACGAACGTTGACCTTTATGACCCAACACTGCCGCTGTTACAGGTCATTGGCTCCCTCCCTCTGCAAGCAGTCTGCGTTCTGCTGTTTATTTTGTTGACAGTTACATAGACAGATTCTTTAATACAAATACATAAAATCGGTGATTTACAATGTGATTAGGTTGTCTGACAAAACATCCACTTGCACAGTTTGAGATCGATTGGGTCATTGGATGAAGAGATATTTACAAAAAAACGGGTCCACATGCATTTCATGCCAAACTATAAAAACCCTGAACAAGTCCTTTTTCCACAAAGTGTTTGGACATCTTCATCCACCGAAGATGCAAGTGGCCAACGACTGGAAACCATGGGAATGAGATGCCGATAAGGAGAATCTAGGTGAAGACAGACTGTCCTTAATCCTCTTAAGGCTTTTAAAGGCATGATCCAATGACGTGAGCAACACAAGGTTGTGGTGGAAGTGTAATACACGCCAAGTCCCGTTGTCTCATGAAGAAAGGATGTGCTAAGTCCTCCGCATTCCGTGACATAGGGAGATGGAGTTCCTCCACTGTCCATGCTAATTCTTGGGGTTCATCAACAAAATCCAGACTTCCCTCTGGGGAAGCAATATCCGAACGTGCCGGAGACGGAGGTTCCAGTTGAAGACCAAGACTGGGCGCCGCACAGATGGTCTAAGGGTAGGAGCACTCCCCACAGATTGAGTAGAATGTCGCTGATTCCAAGTGGTGGTAATAGTGTGCAACATCACAGCCAGATCTGGGGGAAGTGTCGTTTCCTGTGCTGGAGTCCAAGAATCTGATAAAATCCGAGTAGAGAGACGTGAGGAGGCATGAGCCCCTTCTGAAGTCATAGCATGCTGATATCTGTAATCTGAACCCAGATGAGTAGATCTCCTATCTGTAGAGCTATACCTACGTCTGGAGGGGGACGAACCAGGTGAAGACGCACAAATGGAGACCCGCTGAGGAGATTGGGAGTGAGGAGGGGACGTATCATAACAAGAACATTGATTGAGAAGGATAGGCAGAAGTCGATCGTGTAGGAGATCTAGGTTGACAGGTTGAATGCACTGAACTGGAAGTCCCATGATGACGAGAAGACGAAGCCCGATGAGGAGACTTTGAGCAGAGAACGGATCTCAACGCAGTAGTTGAAGTAGTGTGTTTAGTAGAATACGAATGATTCTAAGAGTGGCGTCTAGGTGGTGAACTAGACCTAACAGGTCTTTCCGGTGAACAAATCCAAAGAATAATAGGTGATTGATCCAAACGACTCAGTGAAAGCCATATCCGTGCTGAAGACATGACTGGAAGAGCCAACAGAGTTCAGGGAAGCACTCAGAGACATATGATCCAGAGAAGGGCATTCTGCTGAATACTGAATCGAGGAATGGCGTTTCAGTTAATAGCGACTCAAAACACGCCGTTTCAGTGAAACCTGATGCCTAGTATGCTGTTTCGACGAAAACTGTTTGGAAGAAGACCGTACCGGTGAATGTTGATGAGTAGACTGACGTTTCGACGAAAGCCAGTTCGGAGAAAGCTGATTCGTGGAGTGCTGGTCTGGCGAAGACTGGTACGACGAATGCTGTTTTGGTGAAAGTCGAGCTGGAGTGGTGCGGTCCAGCGAAGCGTGATCTGGTGAACTGTGATTCAACGAACTTGCAGGCTTCAGCGAAGTGGATGATCAAGGTATCAGTACACAGGAGACAACACTTTATTCACCGAATGGGAAGTAGTTGGAGCAACAACGTCTTACAACCGTTTTGGCGAGCTAGACCGATTCCTGTCACTGCTGGACAAGCAACGTGACCTTGAACGGCTACAGCGAATGTGATCCTGACAGTCAGGTGAAGAAACCAGCTGCTTCTTATCCATCGAGACTGATAACCCAGGTCTTGATAACTGATCCGGGGAGTGAGACACGGAGAGCGTAGTTAGAAGGTCCCGCTGTAGTGAAGTACCCTGGGGGTGGCAGAACGCTCGACGACCACCACACGGTAAGTGGTCGAAGACTAGGGACTCGGGCTGGAATGTTGAGAGCCAAGCAGTTTCCGGAGATCTTCAGATAAATAAGAGTCTGACGACACTCTCATTAAATCCTCCTTCATTAGAGAGAGGGGACTGTGACTGATGAGCAGATAACGTAGGACACTTAAACTTGCCTTTCTTGGTGGGACTGGGTCCGTCTAACGTGCTCTATCAGCAATACGTCAAGCGCAGGCCCTGGTGTAACCTCCAAAGGCCTCAAAGGTAAGATTCTTGCATTTCTCACAACAAGTTTCCCATTTGCATTGTCCCACACAATCGACACACAAAGAATGTGGATCACTAGCAGGGAAAACCTTGTTACACTGCGAACATTTCTTTCTCTTCTTAGGTTGGTCGGTCTTCCCCGTATCGTAAAACGTATTGTAGAAATGATGAGTAAAATAAACCACATTCACACTCAAGTGCGACAAGAAGGAGAATGATGGTTGGAGCATGCTGCATGTTTTCCATGACAACTAGGAAGCTGTCTTATAATGAGGGTAGCATGGAGTGCTTGGGCGGATGGACAAGAGAGGCCTAGGGAGAAAAAGTTTACATCATTCCACTCAGTGTCGAAGCAAGAGAGAGAAGTGCATACCGTGAGATAGGATAAGTTTAAAACTTAGATATTTTATGGACAAATTCTTTGTTGCAATGGATGCGATGTTTCGGTGTAGATGCTAACACAGTTATCAAACAAGTTATTGCGAAAGTGATTTGCTTGATAACAGTTCTTTATTGCAATGAAAGCGACGTTTCGGTGTAGGTACTAACACAGTTATCACTTGCTTGATAACAGTGTTAGTACCTACACCGAAACATTGCACTCATTGCAATAAAGAAGTTGACTATCCATAGAACTTAGTTTTCCTTCATCTTCACAACTTCTAAAATGTCTCTAAAAAAACTTGAGAACAGTGTTAGCATCAACACTGAAATGTCACATCCATTGCAACAAAGAAGTTGTCCATCCATAAGATACTGCTCCTATTCATCATACCAGCTTCTAAATGCCACCCAAAGGAGAAACATCATAAGATTAATATTATTCAGACAGGAGGATTAACACCCCAAAAGACTTTTCTTTATCTTAGTGGAACATGAGGTGGATCACATGTACACATTTCAAAAAACCTGGTTTTGTACGGTTCAGTCACTGATAACATCTCTAACCTTGCTTCTCAACCCCCTCCAACAGCCGTTTGGTGGCAAACTTTTGGTTGGTGAGTTGCTCAATCTTGATCTTGTCTTCAGGCAGCAGGTACAAGATCGTTTTCACACGCTCCTGTGCAGCTCCTGCACGCGAGTTAGCATCCACTGATTCATTTGTCACCTTCATTGCTCGGTCTCCAGAATCACCTGAGGTAAAAGAAAAGATTGTGAGTCAAGCCTTGATATATGGCACACAGAGGCTGCAGAGAACCATTAGCATGTTTACCACCATTTACAAAATAATTTACACAATCAACATGAGTGAGCTGGGATTTACTCTGCTTTTAGCTACATTACAGCAGTATAACAGCTTTAAACACCAGAAATGGGCTTCATACATTGTACCAATGTGGAGAATAAAACCCAGGTCTTCAGCGTGATAATGAAACATTTTAACCACTAGGTTCCACCACTGCCCTTATAATCCACATTAATATTACATACGTGAGGGTAGATTGCCAAGAGCAGCTGCGACTTCATCTAAGTCCTTCTGTGTTTTCAAATTCATCAGACCAACATTGCTTAGAGCATCAACGGCATTGTTGATGTCAACACGCAGATCTGTCAAACACATGAAGTCTTCATCTCATTGAAGAATTTTACAAGAATTATACACTCAGATTGACATACATGTAACATTGAAAGTAATCTATAGCATGTGTTTCGATGGATACTTTATTGGTTTCTATATGACCATTAACATACAGAATTACTGTACATATTTGTTTTGAAAAAACACATGACTGAGCTTCTTCAATGTCATAGCTGCATGTAACATGAGAGATTCGTGCCATCATTTCATCATAGTAACTATAGGTTCTTCTGGTTATACCTACATCCCATCGTGAGAGCTATAAATTCCTTTATAATCAGTTTCCCAGCAATAATTACTGCTGTAAATATTCAGTCAAAACAACCAATATAGGCTAACTGTTTCTATCTATTTTCACACCACTTGCTGATTTTTATTGCAGTTTTAACCATTTTCTATTTTATACAATAAAGTTGCAGGAGTTTAGAAGTACCCGTCTGTGTTGCATCATAGGCATTATTTGCGGACTCCAAAAGTGTAATGCTGCGCTCTCTGGACTTGGCAGATTTGTCGCCAACACCACTGGACTGGAAATGAGAGATCAAGGAAATAGTCAACTGTATTCACACACACACAAGAAACTATGCACCTATTCAGCTTGCTGCAACATGCTCTCAAACGACAATAAGACACATTCACAGCTTCAGGACAGTCACTAATCCAAATGTGTTAGTTAGCTTGGATTAATGCCATTTAGAATACTGCTCCAGTTACATTACAACATGTCAGTCTAATGTTGAACAAAGCCCAAAGTGTTGCTTGTGTTAAGATATTCACCAAGTTTGTGAAACCCACAGGAACTGGTACATACGGTACACAAAACACAAGGAAGACCAAACTTGGTGAACTCACACAGGTAGGTTTCTGACATGCCTGAAGTATGTAACTGTAGGCCGTAGGCAATTTTCTATTTGTGACCACCTGCTTTCACAACAGCTACAGGCCACCAAGAACTTCATCTTAAAAGAGTCTTCCGTTCTGGAAGACCAGAAGGTTTTGGACAACTTACTTTGCTGAGAGCATCCTCTCCATCTTGTTCTGCACTGGCAGAAGCATTTTCAGCACTGTTGATGGCATCCACTATATCCTTGTAGGCATTGGCAGCTTGGAGAGCATTAGCGGCCACCTGCCTTGTGTCTGTGTACATCCTGGACAGAGTCATAGATGCATTACTTCACTTCAGACTCACCAGGGTCTGTCCAACTGATAACCTCACAGCCATGCCAACATTTCTATCGCACCATGGCAACCCATCTTTAGTTACCTTGCCAACCCATCTATAGAACCATACCGATCTACCACGAGTACCTTGGCAACCCATCTATAGTACCATGACAACCCATCTATAGTACCATGACAACCCATCTATAGTACCATGACAACCCATCTATAGTACCATGACAACCCATCTATAGTACCATGACATACTATCTATAGTACCATCTATAGTACCATGACAACCCATCTATAGTACCTTGGTCATCTATAGTACCATGACATACCACCTATAGTACCTTGGCAACCCATCCATCTATAGTACCTGACATGGTACATGTCAACCCAATCTGTAGTACCATGATCATACCACATACTACCTATAGTACCTTGGCAACCCATCTATAGTACCATGACAACCCATCTATAGTACCATGACAACCTCCCACCAGTACCATGTCTACCAATCTGCAGTAACATGCTGACCTATCATGAGTACTATGGCTACCCATCCACCAGTCCCATGTTATCTTATTGTACTGAAAGCATATGGTGCAAAATATAGCAGCTATTCAGGAGCTCATTCCAAAAATAAATCTTTCAACTAAGACAAATGTAACTTCCATAACTAACCCAGATTTGGCTGTAGTGTATATGTATATATACATGGTTACATCGAAGATTGATTTCTCCACTAACTTGGAGGAACCAACTGCAAACCTTATGCAGATGAATTGCATGAGGATCATGCATCAAATTGCTGAAAAGCATGTGCAAATATCCTGCATGTGAACAGCTGCGTTTTTGTGTAAAGTTTTGTTAAGAATTCGCCAATTTTCACTGAATTTTATCACTTATTGAACTCATGACAAAATTCTTTTCAACATTACGAATTTGTTTTACAATACATCAGTTCATGTGTAAGCAGTACCTTGAAACAGTATGGAATATTTTGCAAAATTTAGTTTAGGAGAGTTGCTTGAAGTAAGTGGCTATCTTTACACTAGTGAGTCTAAAATTTTGAAGAGAAGTATGGTTATAATGTCTGGAGTCAACTTACTGGTCAAGGGCCTCAGCCTGGTTCTCCAGGTCATCGGCTCTCTGAATGCTCTGGTTGACCAGGGGCTCCACGTCCTCAAGCTTGTTCGTCAGTATATCCTGTGCCTCTGTCATGGTGACAAAGGCTGAATCCAACTGACCTGACACATCTTGTAGAGCCTGAACAGAAACAAGATTGACATTCATTCACGGTGGTTTATTGCGACCTATTAGATGGCATGTTCTATCAGTTCTTTATCGCTGTCATGAGCTCACAAACACTTCAACAAGCACCCTTAATTCATTGAACAACTGAGTGAATGAGTTTCGTTTTAAGCCACTTTTAGCAATATTCCAGCAATATCACAGCAGGGGACACCAGAAATGGGCTTCACACATTGTATCCATGTGGGGAATCGAACCCGGGTCTTCGGGATGACTAGCAAACGCTTTAACCACTAGGCTACCCCACTGACTATGAAGAACTGACTTTCACTTTGTGACTGTGAAGGTTCACACCTCAATAAACTGAGTCAGACACAAACTGTATGAATGTTGGAGATTGGATGTGCCTGGCTTTGTTGTGTTAACTGGGATGGGTAATAGGACGGATATTCTTGAAAAGGTATGGAGTTACAGTGGTAAATTCTATGATTTATCCCAATATATGCTCAAATGCCAGTACAGCATTAAAGGGTCTTAAAGGTCAGAAACATCACTTCTGTATACATTCATGCTAAGGAATTCCCATGAGATGTGGAAGTAGTCAATTAATTTGTGTCATTTCAAGAATACAGGCTTCATCTCTCATCCAATGAAAAGCTGTTCTTCATGAACAGTTCACATTAACATTCAGATACTGTGGCTAAAAGACATTTCATTTGGCATGTTTAATTCCCAGGTGAAAATTACATGGATACAGATTTGAGAATCATTTGCAACACAGGAAACAGTTTCATGGTATCTTCAATTACAAATTTTAAATAAGAAACTCCCAGTTATCTGCCTTCAAAACCCTACAAAACATAAGTAAAGAGCAAGTGCACTGTGTTCTTACTTACCTCAAAGGCATCCTCACTCCTGTTAAGCGCATCTCTTGCTCCATTAATCAGCTCATTAGCATCATCCAAAAGGCCAACTGTATCTTTCTCCCCTTCATGGATGTCATCAATGTCTTCCTGCAAACAAACAATAACAAACAAGTCATACTAGGCATCCTTAACTTAAATGTTTGTTGTTTAATGCCGCACTCGGTGATATTCCAGCTTATTGTCAGCAGTCAGTAAATAATCTGGAGCAGACAATCCAGTGATCAACAGCATGAGCATCAATCTATGCAAATGTGTCAACATAACATGAATGTACAAAATGTCTACACACCTCTGCTGCTTCTGCATGTTCAACCTGATTAATCCCCAAAGGTGACAAATATAAATACCAAAGAACAATAGACTGCATTGTTGACTGATCATGTGTCATAGCTAAAAAATATTTACATATGTGCATTTACTCAGTGTTCATCAGTAAGTGATGAATGATCACTGACCACTTTTACTACCAGGCTATCTGGCGCGCACATGCATGCACGCACGCACACACGCACACCTTAGTGTTGAACTCACCAGTAGGGCTGCAAGGTCATTGTTTCTCAGTTGATTAGACAGCTCTTGAGCCTTCCTTGAATCAATGTCAGAGAACAAAGTGTTATTCTGCAGATCATTGTATCGAGCCTCAGCGTCTGTGATGTTGTCCCGGATGCTGTTCAGGAACTCCAACTGCTCTGCAGCAGCCATCTGAAGCTCATCAGATTGGTTCAGGGCTGAAACAGGGAGTGAGTGTGGTAGGTTTTATGCCGCTTTTACAAATATTCCTTCTGTACCTTGGCAAACAGAAATGGCTTTCACACAGTGTACACATGTGGGGAATAGAACCAGGGTCTTCAGTATGACAAGCAAACACTTTAACCACTAGGAGTGAGAGAGTGAGTTTAGTTTTACGCTGCTTTTAGCATTATTCCAGCAATATCACGGCGGGGGACACCAGAAATGGGCTTCACACTTTGTACCCATGTGGGGAATCGAACCCGGGTCCTCGTAACCACAAGGACGCCAAACCACTACTCATCAGTTGATCGTACTGACAGCATGAGCAAGTGAGTGAGTTTGGTTTTTACGCCGCTTTTAGCAATATTCCAGCAATATCAATATTCCAGCAATATCACATCAGGGGACACATGAGGAATGGGCTATTCAGCAATATTTTGTACCCATGTGGGGAATTGAACCATGAGCAAGTGGAGTCTTTAGCAATATTCCAGCAATGGGGACAAGGAATGGGCTTCACACTTTGTACCCATGTGGGGAATTGAACCCGGATCTTCGGCATGACAAGCAAATGCTTTAACCACTAAGCTACCCCACCACCCAACTGACAGCATGAAGGATAAGACATGAAATCTGTGTATTCATGTTCCAACACTTTTGACTTTACATGAAAGTATATCACATTTACATTTGTTTTTCTAAAGAAGATGCCCCTAGACAGGCCTTGAACTCATCTTTGATAATGGAATGAACTTCCATATGCAAGTCTTTCCTCATAACATTATACACTTCACAAGCAACAACTTAATACTCATAGATACTGGGGGGTACAATGAACACAGGCTATACAGGTTCAGTTTTTGAAGTGGCTATTCTTCATACCTTTCTGAGCCTCCATCAGTTCCATTATAGCGGAGTCATTCCTGGGACTAAAGTCCCTGGACACGATCTCCTGTAAGATACGTTCTGCTTCTCGGATGTATGTGTCAATGTTGGCCACCTGGATGCCGGCCAGGATACGCTGTAACACCTGTCTGACGTCTGTCACAGCAGCTGAAATAGTCACCATCCAGGATACAAGATAGGTACACACTAATCCACTACAGTTGTCACTAAATTCATTTTTCACAGATCTTAGCAAACTGACAAAGAAACAGACCCTCAAGGTAATCATCTCCAGCATACAACTCACTAGATCATGTTAAAAGCAATGGAGAAAACATTCCTTCCGATAATATTGCAGCTCTTAAAATGGATGACTTGAAGTTCTTCAAACAGGGCAATACATACTGCCTTTTTCATATGAGAATCTATATGAAATGCAGTATATATGAGAAATAGTGAGTGACTGAGTAGGGTTTTATGTCACTTTTTCAATATTCCAGCAATATAACGGCGGGGGACACCAGAAATGTGCTTCACACAATATACTCATGTGGGGAATGGAACCCAGGTCTTTGGTGTGACGAGCAGATGTTTTAACCACTGGGCTACCCAACCGCCCCTATATGAGAAATATACGATCAGCATAACTTTCGGTATTATTTGATCTGCATCTTACCACGACCATCCTGGGTACTCTCGGTGATAGTGCTCTCCATGTCATATGCTGCAACCTGGAGGCTGTCCACATCATTACCTAGAGCTGTAGCCTCCGCATCGATATACACAGCCTGTACACAACGAACAGAGTCAGCATACAACAGAGAGAAATCTTTCCGTTTTGATAAGCAATCATGTAATGGATGCCTTTTTCAGAATTGGTGATTCTTTTATTGTAACCAATTTACAAATCAAAATTCAAACAGAAACTTACTCGATCAAGAGTTCTCATTGCACTGTCATCCAGTTTGGCAATCTCGTCCTCAAAAGGGGTCACATCAATTGGATCTGTGTTTTTGTAGAGGTTGCGAACATGAGGCTGCAAAAAGGAGAATATCAGTTTCAGTTATTATAGCAAAATTTTAGTTACATAATATGGTTAAATATGAAAAATATAAAACACATAGTTGTTTTACTGTGTGTTGTCGTCAATACTAACTTGTCACAATAAAAGCTATTGATGAGAGAGGCCAAAAGGCTACAGTGACCAGTATAAGTGGATGCATGTGGAACAACAAGGGCAAACTTGACCTCCTAATCAGTACCTAAGACCAAACAGTTTTGTAGCCAAATTTTCAAAATCCTACTACTGCCCTCACCCTCTTCACATAGCAACATTATTTACTAGTTTCACTTGCAATACTATCCTTTTGTATGAACAGGACAGAGTTTAGCTAACATATAGCAGTAGTTTGTTGTGTGATAAATAGCATCATGAGGCAAGCATCTTACCCTGAGGTCAGCGATGGTCTGGTTCATGTCCGAGAGTTTCTGGAATGCAGCAACTCCAACAGACACACTAGCAAGTGTTCGCCGACTTACTGTGACGTTCCTGTCCATGAAGTCAAGGTCATCCATCAGAAGATGGACACAGTAGCCACATTCTGACAAAACAGGGGACAGAGTTAAGGCCAATAACAAATAGTGCTAATGGCTGTTTTCTTCAGAGGACTATAACACAAACAAATAACCCTGAATTTCTCACCAGTACTAGTCAGATGGACCTATACTTTCAATACTGACCCTCATTTTCATAGTGGACAGTCATATGGTCCACAAGTACCACAATAATCTGAGGTTCCTTACCCTTTACAATGAAATATAACAGACTAAAATTGTAAAGTACTCATCCCATGTGGCATGTTTTGTTCAGGTTTAGTTGATTATTAGCTCATCTGAACCAGACATTTATTTTCACACACAGAGCATGCCAGCATGCAATACCTTGACATCCAACTTCTGGTATAAGGACCCATCTGTCCAAGCACCTGTCACACATCTCCCCAGTGACACCAGGCAAGCACTGACACCGCCCACTGACAGCATCACAGGTCACAGCTCCATCTCCCATACATTCACAGCCTGAAAACAGACAAATATCAAACATATCTGTCTTAAAATGTTACATTGTATCTCATGTTGTTTTCAGGATTTTAAGAGCATGAATAGGGGTTGTTGTTATTCTTCTTGAGGATTGTATCATTGTTTATGTTTTAACAAAGATAATGGATCCTGAGGCCAAATATTCCAATTGATTCAAGGCAAACATTTAATTTTCAAAGCTTCTATAAAAGGGAACTATGAAAGTGATGATATGGCTTGAATTTAATTGAACTAAAATGTTACGTTAAACAACGAGCATAATTTAGAATCAGTGTAAAAAAGCTCAATACTCCTCCACTCTATTTAGCATTTCAAAACATGATGGTGAACCATTTATTTCACTTACTGTTTTTCAATAACAGTGATAAAACCATTTCCTATATCAAATAAAAGCTCAGGTAAAAGCAAAATCCACAGTGTGATACTGACAATATTTTGTGTTTATGAATCAGTATCAAATAGCAATAACAGGTGTTCATGAGCCTATCCTGCCCATTCCAGACAGTGGATGAATTCATGGTTCTTCTAAGCCCAGTGTGAATGTTAAACATGTTTTGGACACATCTGAAATATACCCTGACTTCAACAACAACAACAACAACAACAGTTTAAGTCCTCACGTTGACATCCTGCCGCCCCATAGTTCCAGTAGCCCTCCTGGCATTGGTCACACTTCTGTCCGATGACGTTGGGCTGGCACTCACACTGACCTGTCCTCAGGTCACACTGGGGGGAGATGGAGGCAGCCCCACAATCACAGCTGGTGCATCCCATACAGTACTCAAACCCCCATGTGTAAGGCTGGAGGAGGAAGAAAATATGTCATGCATGGTGGAAACATCAAGTCTTTGAAAGGAAATATAATTTCAAATCTGTGTTTCTAGCAGTATGATACTATTTAACTTCAAATACAATAAGGAAATCAGAGAACAGTGAATTAGTTGATTTAGCTACCACCTTTTGGTGTCACTTAAGTATGTAAATATGTTATAACTTAGTTACTGTCTGTTTTCTATTCCCCACATGGGTACAATGTGTGAAGCCCATTTCTGGTGTCCCCCGCCGTGAGCTAAAAGCGGCGTAAAACCAAAACTCAGTCAGGCAGTCAGTCTTTTCTATTCTGCTTTCTTTTCAGTTGTCATGAAGAGCAACATTTCACAAAGACATTGGAGTACAACAGTTATATCTCCCATACTTTGCATTGGTTTACCATGCTAACTCAGTTGATGTTCTACAATCCCTTTGTCAATGGGAACGCGATCCATGACATATAACACTATACTCTTAAACCAAAAAAACTATCTCTCCATGATCTTGAACAAAACACTATCTGTGTTGTTAAACACTATTGATTGGCTGGATATACTCACTGCACATTCATCACAGTCCAGGCCAATCACATTAGTTTTGCAAGTACAGACACCGTTACTATTGTCACAGCTTTCAGAACCGCATGTGTCACAGGCACAGGCTGTAAGGAAAACATTATTATTAATTACCTTTATAGAAGTTGGTAGGTCAAGAATGACAGCATGGAAAGTGAGGTATGAGGTTATAGCCTAGAGTTACCTGCTCTTGACCGTCAGGGTTCCAAGGGGCCCTGTAGGGGTGGTCTCATAAGACAAAAGGTAGTTTTGTTTTGTAAATATTTTTATTCAAAATATAGTTACAACTGTCGTAGGGATTTAAAACAGACATTTTTATGCTTACATGTAGCCCAAGGAGGATCTCTATGAAAAAGAATGTGCTGTCTCGCTACAGTCTTGCTAAACAAAGGTATATCGAACCTTACCAAAATGTTGTATCAATATAGCATGGAGAATTTGTCATCCGTAAAATGTTTTGTCTTTAGCTTCACAAGGAAAAAACACGATACAGATTACAGAATTCCTTTCAGTCGTGAACCATCTAGAACACAATTCCTGCCTTCTGGACAATAACTATAGTTGACACATGTCATCATATCCCAGTTGCAAAGATTGATGCTCATGCTGTTGATCACTGGATTGTTTGGTCCGGACTTGATTATTTACAGCTGGAATAATGCTCTGCGTGGAGTTAAACAAGAAACCAACCAACACTGCCACCCAACGTTTGGGAATGACAAATAGTATTGGAAAAAGGAAATGGGATATTAAGTAGTATGTAAAGGCAGATTAATTATCTCAAGGTAAATACATCTTTATCATAAAAAGAGTAGAACATATACTTACTTGCACAGTCCTTTCTCTGAATGGCATCGCCATAATACCAATCCTGGCATCTGTCACAGTAGCTGCCAGCGGTGTTGTTGAGGCAGATGAGACACTCGCCGGTGTAACGGTCGCAGCTGTAGGGGTCATTGAGGTTGATGTTACCACTGCACCCACACTGCTGGCACCTCTCACCAACATTGTAAGGGTTGCCATAGTGACCAGAAGCACAGCTAGGGGTGGAAAGGAAAATAGTAGGCATGAAAAAGGTTGGAGTCACTGAGGATGGGCAACAAGGTTAACAAAGAAAAAATTGTTCGGAGGCAAAAACACTTTAGGAAATGGTAGCAGGATGATAAAAACAGGCAAGTTTGTGAATGGCGGTCTAATATTCCAGCAAACATGGCAGCCTGTGAAAAGTCATGTTCAGCCAAAGCATGGTTATGAATACACCATGCCTTCTGTCTGTCAGCAGGTGAGTGACAGGACAAGTAACTATCAATGACAAATTAACCATCAGGTCACAAATTATAACCACCAATCTCCATTTTAGTTGGCTGTTACAAATGTTATGGGATTCTGAGAGATTTTTCATGGAACCCCAAAGGCAATGTCATACACAGTTGTGGCAAGCTGGGGTACCTTTACATCTAGATGCCACCTACCTTTCACAATTGGGACCATAGTATCCGGGAAGGCACTCACAAAAGGTAGTGAGGCCACTTTCTGATATCACACAGGAAGCTGCAAAACTAAAGAGACAAAAACATTACAAGGGAATACAATTACTTCATCACTAAACCATGTTTTCAAGGAATGGATTGTTAACACTAAGCTGAAAGCAACCTCAGGCTCAGAGGAATTCCAGGTTCATTTTATGAGTTTCACTAGCAGGGTGTACAGGACTTATGCTGAATGGACTTTGACGCATCAAGATGAAAGTTACACATCCACATGAATGTTCACCTCATAAAGTCCTGTACATTCTGTGGTGATATATGTGATGAATTTATCATTATTGTGTTTGGAATTTTCAGTGAAATATGATTGTATTTGATCTGTGAGTGGGTTTTGTAGGCAACTAAAATGTTAATAGCATCAATAAGATGGAGTGACAAGATGACATATTACAGTTTGTTTAAAGATTGTCACATGGCTAGTTTGTATTACAAGTAATGACAAACGCCAAGCCAGGTTTTCATAAGTTATATAAGTGTTACTCATTTGGAGGAAGCCATCATTAAATATTAGATTTAACACTGAACTTGTGACACTAGAGGGTTTCATTAATTCCACACTCACTTGTTAGAGGGCAGTGGCAGAGGACAAGCACAGATTTGACAACCTTCGACTGCCGGGTCACCAAAATATCCTGTCAGGCATTGTTCACAATGAAGTCCTGTTGTGTTGTCTTGGCAGTTCTGGGCAAAATAATAGTAATTGTTAATGTGAAAAGAGACCCAAACATTAAATTATTTCCACTTAATGTTTACAATGAGGAATTGTAATCTCTCTCCAACAGGTCTCTCCAAGAGATACGGTCATCGTTTCTTCACTGGTTTCATTAGTTTAGCAACTTTCTACAACTTACCAAGCACTCTCCTGTGATGGGATCACATGACTCGGCATGTCCATTGCACTCACAAGGAACACAGATGCCGAGGTATGGGGTAGGACGAGATCGGTAGTATCCTTGGGCACACTCCTGGTGGATAAACAATACAGGTTATCACTCCTTTCATACACATAGCTCAACACCTTCAGTATTCTGTGTTATGAGGAAGGTCAAGGTTAACTACTAACTCCATGCTATTCTGCTCCAACATGTTTAGCTACAACAGTATTGAGCCCCTGTGGGAGGCTTGAGTTAAGTACAACAGTATTGTGCCCCGGTGGGGACTAGAGTTAAGTACTACAACAGTACTGTGCCCCTGTGGGAGGCTAGAGTTAAGTACAACAGTATTCTGCCCCTGTGGGGACTATAGAGTTAAGCACAACAGCACAGCCCCTAAGTACAACAGTATTCTGCCCTGTGGGTGGGGACTAGAGTTAAGTACAACAGTATTCTGCCCCTGTGGGGACTAGAGTTAAGTACAACAGTATTCTGCCCCTGTGGGGACTAGAGTTAAGTACAACAGTATTCTGCCCCTGTGGGGACTAGAGTTAAGTACAACAGTATTCTGCCCCTGTGGGGACTAGAGTTAAGTACAACAGTATTCTGCTGACCTCGCATGAGGATCCCTGGTAGTTGACAGGACACTGGCACTGCTCCACAGACAGCGCTGCGTCACCCAGACCATCCACTGTGGCCACCTCAAGCACGACATCGGTCAGTCTACAACAGAGGGACAACATTCAAAACAAGCCAGTTGGGCCACCTCAAGCATGACATCAGACAGTCTACAAAAGCTGTGCTAACTATCAAAATCCACCACATGAAAAGCAAAACCATGTCCAGTGACATCTGGATATACTATGTGACACTATTGTTTCTGTAACCTCAAAGGTATAAATTCGGGAAATACAATTTGGAAAGTGAGACATTATAAGTATGCTTCTCTTGAGGGTAATATGGTCTGATGTACGCCTTTTTGAAGCAGTGTCACTTGAGCCGGCAGACAAGGGATGACACTGCTACAAAGAGGCGTACATCAGACTGTATTACCCAAGGGAGAAGTTTACAACATATTTATCTTACCGCCATGTTAAATGTACAAAATATCATTTAATTATATTTTGAGTGAGTGAGTTTAGTTTTATGCCGCACTCAGCAATATTCCAGCTAAATGGCGGCGGTCTGTAAATAATCGAGTCTGGACCAGACAATCCAGTGATCAACAGCATGAGCATCGATCTGCGCAATTGGGAACCGATGACATGTGTCAACCAAGTCAGCGAGCCTGACCACCCGATTCCGTTAGTCGCCTCTTACGACAAGCATAGTCGCCTTTTGTGGCAAGCATTTGAAGTTCGATAAGCTCGCTACCGACTATAGAACATGTAAACAAAATCGCGTATGCCTCTCGACTGGATTTTTTTTAAATCAGTGAAACATATTCTGACAAGCTTAAAATTGCTTTAAAAATGGTTAATTATGTTTAAGTTGAGTGTGCAAACAATTCAATGTATAAAATAGTTTAAATAAAGCAGTGAAAGTCTGTAAAATATATGTGTACATAAAGAACTCAAAAACAGCTAATCAATCGTTTTTTCGAACTCCAGGCACTGCATGAGTCATATTATGCTGTCATACCATTGTTAGTGATACTGCTTCTCGGTGGAAAGTTTGGCGGTTACCATGGCAGTGGGTAATATTTTTTCCAGTTGTCACCCTCCTGGGAGGGGTGACATGGAAGCTTGTTAAAGCATCATTGACAAATGAAATGAAATTATTTTAGATGATGGTAAGAAAAGGATCTGTACCTGGCTTCATCAATCAGAGTGAAGTACGAGGCCCTGATGTGTATGGCTTGCAAGTTGATGAGGAGCATCATAAACTGCTCCCTTGTCACGGTGTCCCGAGTGTTGGCATGGACAAAGTTGTACTGAAACAACATAGTCAGTCATATAGACAAAGTTGTACTGATACAACACGGCAAGTCATACAAAGTTGTACTAAACCAATGGAGTAAGTCATACAAAGTTGAACAAAACCAGTGGATTAAGTCATACAAAGTTGTTCTAAACCAGTGGAGTAAGTCATACAAAGTTGTACTGATACAACACGGCAAGTCATACAAAGTTGTACTAAACCAATGGAGTAAGTCATACAAAATTGTACTAAACCAATGAGTAAGTCATACAAAGTTGTACTAAACGAATGAGTAAGTCATACAAAACCAATGGAGTAAGTCATACAAAGTTGTACTAAACCAATGGAGTAAGTCATACAAAGTTGTACTAAACCAATGGAGTAAGTCATACAAAGTTGTACTAAATCAATGGAGTAAGTCATACAAAGTTGTACTAAACGAATGAGTAAGTCATACAAAACCAATGGAGTAAGTCATACAAAGTTGTACTAAACCAGTGGAGTAAGTCATACAAAAGTTGTACTAAACCAATGCTAAACCAGTGGAGTAAGTCAAGTTGTACTAAACCAATGGAAGTAAAAGTCAAACCAGTGGGGTAAGTCACAAAGTTGTACTAAACCAGTGGAGTAAGTCAAAACCAGTGGAGTAAGTGAAAGTTATACTAAACCAATGGGGTAAGTCATACAAAGTTGTACTAAACCAGTGGAGTAGGTCAAAGTTGTACTAAACCAGTGGAGTAAGTGAAAGTTATACTAAACCAATGGGGTAAGTCATACAAAGTTGTACTAAACCAGTGGAGTAGGTCAAAGTTGTACTAAACCAGTGGAGTAAGTGAAAGTTATACTAAACCAATGGGGTAAGTCATACAAAGTTGTACTAAACCAGTGGAGTAGGTCAAAGTTGTACTAAACCAGTGGAGTAAGTGAAAGTTATACTAAACCAATGGGGTAAGTCATACAAAGTTGTACTAAACCAGTGGAGTAAGTCAAAGTTGTACTAAACCAATGGAGTAAGTCATACAAAGTTGTACTAAACCAGTGGAGTAAGTCAAAGTTGTACAAAACCAGTGGGGTAAGTCACACAAAGTTGCATTAAACCAGTGGAGTAAGTCAAAGTTGTACTAAACCAATGGAGTAAGTCATACAAAGTTGTACTAAACCAGTGGAGTAAGTCAAAGTTGTACAAAACCAGTGGAGTAAGTCAAAGTTGTACTAAACCAGTGGAGTAAGTCACACAAAGTTGCATTAAACCAGTGGAGTAAGTCAAAGTTGTACAAAACCAGTGGAGTAAGTCACACAAAGTTGTACTAAACCAGTGGAGTAAGTCAAAGTTGTACTAAACCAGTGGAGTTAGTCACACAAAGTTGTACTAAACCGAAACCCTTATTCAGATAGTGGGCAGCCTCATAACAGTGCTTCAGTCAAGGCAGACAATCAATAAATGTATGCATCTATTAGTAAATATACCAAAGACTTGACCAATATATGTATTCTTATTTGTTACTATGGCTTGATAACTGAGGAGTCTTGTGTAGTAACATAAGGCTTCTCTTGCATAACTTCTCACCTCGAATATCTCTACTTGCACCCTAACTCTTGAATTTGGGGCTGGCTGGTCCTCACTGTAGTGCACTATTGTCATGTTATTTCCCTGGAAGACAAAATCATACATTTTAGAAACTATTAACCATTAACCAACATTATTCACAGACTTAACACTTAATCCTGACTTTTGTTTGGAATATTTGCATGTCTACTTACCACCAATATTACATCAGGCCTTACAAGTCCCTCCGTGAGTTGAGCATCATCTCCCCTTGGAAGGGTGAACAATACCTGGTACACGAGCTCACCACCATAGGACTTGATCTGAAGCAAACAACCACCATGGACTTTCGGTATTTGTGTACAGGTTCAAACATCTCATTTAAGGCTTAAGTCTGGATTTTAAAAACCTATTCAATTAGTTTTTCTGCATACACACAGTCATGCATATAAAGTTACAACATAAATACTCAATATCCATCATTGCGATTCAAACTGTCAGATATGAATTTCTAATTAACGTGTATGAAAACGATTCACAAGTAATGTAAGTTTTTAAAGGAAGGCCACAGTAAGAATCACAATGTGTTGAACATTTCATCAAACAAATACATAACTCCAGTGTCAGCTGCTGATCTTCTGTGCTGGCAATTCACACTGTAATGTGACAAAGAGGCCTGTAACTGGCCATATCCCCAAATGACCTACCATGTTGCCAAAATATTCCGAAGGGGCCACCCAGTATATGGCTTCATTGGAGTCAATGATGGAATCGGCTGCCTTCACAGCGATGGTGCTTCCAGCCTCAATCACATCAGCATTCACATTTGTCACTCCCCAGTTGCTCATTTGTATCAGCTAAAGAAGATAAAAAGGTCACTTTTAATGTTCTACTGCAGGTCTACGTATCCTACTGAGATTACAAGATTCTCCACTTGAGAATCTTAACATTCAAGGTTCCAATCATGTGGACAGTTTTTATGCTAGCTTCTCTGCTCAAAACACATAATTTCATTGGAACCTAGCAACAGGCCTAAGATGATTACTATGCAGGTACATGACCCTCTAATACCTAACAAGTCCTAAATGGCTGATTTGTTTTATCAGAGCATTGGTAAAAACTACTCAGATAATGTATAAAATGATCAGACAACATATACACAGTAGTTGACAGAAGTTCTATCTTTACCCCAAAATATGAAAGTCAGAAGAATACATGCACAGACAGAAGAAAATTCAAATATTGTGACTTGCAGTGTAACCATTAGTTTCATTATTATTGTTATTAAACAATGTATCATGTGACAAACCACAGCCCCGCCCCCTGTAGTCATTTAGGTGCCCAGGCCCTACTCAGCAGTGTTTGCAATAGTTTAATTTGAGAGTTGGCCATCAGGGCCTGCCGCCTGCAGGCTTTAAAATCTACAGGCCCTGAATGAAATCCACAGGCCCATTTTGTTACAGTCAAACCAATAAAAACAAAATAGACTACACTGTAAACAGTTTCACATTGTTTCTACAAAATCAATTAGCGAAGCCTATGGCGCAGCGTGAAAATTTAAGGCATTTCTGTGCGCAAAGCGCTGAAATACCAGGAAGTGAAACTGGAAGTTATTGTAACATGGTGGATCATGAAAGATTCCCTAACTTTAAAAATTATGGGTAAGATTTCAGTTGAAAAAAAAAGTACAGATAATTTACCGAAGGCCACAAGGGCCTGCACATATTTGAAACTGCCGGCCGATACAATAACAAACGGCCGGCGATTATTTTAGACTATGCTCCTCAGGACCCACATAACCAAAGTGTCTCACTAACCCTTCCCAGCCCTACTAATATTCAATACAAACTTTATCAAGCCACAGTGAAATTGAAAGGTCCTTGTTTCTGAGGAACCCTGAAAAAGTCCCAACTGAGATATAAATATATTAGTTGCACAGCTCTCACCGCGTTCCAGTAGAAGGTGGAGCTGTCACAGTTGGTGGTGGCGCCGAAGCAGAAGCAGGTGGTACATCCACGAAGGTTTTCCTTGTTTAAGTAGTATGTGTCTGCAGCACACATATCACATCTTGGGCCAGCAACATTCTCCTGCAATGTCAAGGAGTGAGTGAGTGAGTGAGTGAGTGAGTGAGTGAGTGAGTGAGTGAGTGAGTGAGTGAGTGAGTGAGTGAGTGAGTGAGTGAGTGAGTGAGTGAGTGAGTGAGTGAGTGAGTGAGTGAGTGAGTGAGTGAGTGAGTGAGTGAGTGAGTGAGTGAGTGAGTGAGTGAGTGAGTGAGTGAGTGAGTGAGTGAGTGAGTGAGTGAGTGAGTGAGTGAGTGAGTGAGTGAGTGAGTGAGTGAGTGAGTGAGTGAGTGAGTGAGTGAGTGAGTGAGTGAGAGCGTGAGTGAGTTGGGTTTTATGCTGCTTCTAGCAATATTCCAGCAATATCATGGCGGGAGACACCAGAAATGGGCTTCACTGACTATCCATGTGGGGAATCAAACCCAGGTGTTTGATGTGATGAGCGAATGTGTAAACTACTGCACTACATCACTGCCCCCAAGAGCGTTGTGATCTGGAGACTTAAATTCTGCCATGAAATGCTTCTCTGGTTTTGTAGCATTTGTTCAACAAAGTTTAACAAGTCTGCAATATGCATCTTGTCAAAAAGGAACTTGTCAACATGTACTACCCATCAAATGTTTAGACTCACTTAAAGCACTCTCTATATGTTATGCATATATGTGTGGTTACATCGAAGATGAATTTCTCCGCTAACTCTGGGGAACCAGCTGCAAACTTAATGCAGATGAATTGCACGAGGATCATGCATTAAATTGCTAAATAGCAGATATCATGCAAGTGAACAGCTGTGTTGTGGTGTAAAATTTTGTTAAAAATTCGCCAATTTTCACTCAGTTTCATCATTTTTTTTAACCCATGACAATAATCTTTTTAACGTTACGAACTTGTTTTACAATACATAAGTTCATGTGTAAACAATACCTTTAAACAGTATGGAAATTTTGCAAAATCTAGTTTAGAAGAGTTGACTTAAGTAAGTGGCTACATTTACACTAGTGAGTCTAAACATTTGATGGGCAGTATACTGACTGACTGAGTTAGGTTTTAGCAATATTCCAGCAACTTTACGGCGGGGGACACCTGAAATGGGCTTCACATATTGTACCCATGTTGGGAATAGAACCCGGGTCTTCGGCATGACTAGCCAACGCTTTAACCACTAGGCTACCCCACCGCCCCAATGGGCAGTATAGATCTAGTCTACAAACAATGAGTGAAATAACATGGTCAAACCTGGATTCTCCAGGAGTTTATTAATTTATGGTTTTATGACTAATCCTGAGGGTCTGGCTAATACCTTGCAGATACACCTGGCTGTGTTCTGGTTGCAGATATCAACTGTGGTACCGCTGGGGTCACAGTCACATGGCTGGCAGTAAGGGAAGATGCTGTGACCAGGGTCACATGTGTCACACTTTCGGCCACTCACATTCGGCAGACATCTGAAAACATGTTGAAACTTCAAACTGGCTCTGCATCACATCCACACGCAAACGTTTTAACAATCAATAACAGAAAGAGAACGAAAGTTACTGGACAAAGGTTATGCTTGTTTTGTTTGTTTCCTTGTTGTTTTACGCTGCACTCAGCAATATTCCAGCTATATGGAGGCGGTCTGTAAATAGTCGAGACAATCCAGTGACCAACACATGAGCTTCGATCTTCGCAATTGGAATACAATGACATGCGCTTGATAACTTCTAATGGCTATGAGAACACCATTACAATGGAGAAAATTTATATCAAGTTCAAAAGTAGCATTGAATTGTTCAAGGGTACGACATGTTCCATCCGAATTGATAAAATCACGAATCTGACTAACACTTCTATCAAACCATGCAGAACAGAAGATTACCTTTTTACCAATTTTTATGTGCTTGTTATAGCAGATAAGTTATGTTATGAATTCATCAAATGAATAAGGCTGGATCTTAAGTGCAAACTAATCAAAATAAAAAATATAGTTATGCCAAAATTCATTTGAGAAAGAGTTACCAAATACAGCTAAATTTTGCAATTTTGATTCGTAACCAATATCCACCAGCTTTCACATCCAGCTTTAATGAACTGACATATGAAAAAACTTCAACCATACAAAGTCTTGCGCAAACATTTTAAACACACGGCTACCCCATCCCCTTTATCATTTGGATAAATAAACCACTGATGATGGGTATGGTGTGGACAACGGGAATTCAAACCTGATAATGGGATCAGATACACCTAAGGGAAGCAACACCGCAATGCAAACTGAAATGCCTTCCAGTACATGATGGCCACTCTTGCCTCTTAAAGTGAAGAAAACTCATTGAACCACATGACTGACCTGCACTGTCCAGTTGTCTGATCGCAGTTGAGGTCTTGGTCCTGCACGCCATTCCTGTTGCAGTTACAGTCCTGGTGACAGAGAGAGCATGCATCAAACTCAACATACACACAGGTACTCTGCCACATTCACATGGGCAGATGCCATGAAAGTAATGGAGAAAAGATGTCCTCACGAAAACAAATAATTTCAACCAAGCAGCTTTGTTGAATCCTTACAGATTTTGAACAGTAACAACTTTAGATAATTAGATTCTACAATGTGCAATTAACCTTTAACAAATTGAAACAAAAGGGCACAAATTTATTTTGGAAATACTTTTTCTATTAAAATGAAGGAAAAGAGGTCTCAAATGAACAGATGATTATACCTGGCATCCAATGAGGGCATCAAATCCATAGGTCTCTGGCTCACATCGGTCACACCTGTCTCCTTCCACATTGGGGGGACAGATACACTCCCCATTCAGGGGGTGGCACAGGCCATACAGACAGCTGCAGGCTACAAGGAAAAACACAGCCTTAAAGACCAGATGTAAGTTGAGGTGAAGCTGGACCTTTCTTGTCAACTAACATGTCTATTTCATTGAGCAACCAAGCAACGTTGATACTTTCAGTTTACATGTTCAGTGGAAATGACAAATTAATGCAGCCAGGTATTTACAGTTTGGGTTCCCCTTCTGTGACTTACCCACCAAAAACATGGAGTCTTGACAACTGAATTCCCTTTAACACTTCCTATTCTAGAATACTGATTGGATAAAACAGTATGAAGGCTTCTGTTATCTTTTGAGAGACATTATGATATGAAAACTCACGCTTGCATCTTGGAAAACCGTAGTATCCAGGTTTGCAAGCTGTGCAGTTTCTACCAATCACGTTCTCTCTGCACTGACACTGTCCACCAAACTGATCACAGTTGAAATTGAGAGACCCGTCAATGTTACAGTCACACTGGAGGGCACCATTGTTAAACTCCGAAGTCAGAGTAAAGACACTCTCACGACAGAACTCACTGTCGCTTCTGAAACAGTGAAAATAAAAACCATGCAAATCAATAAACATTCTGATACAAAAAAGCCCTGATATCTACTAGACTCAACTGTGACCTGTCCATCAGCGCTGATGGCTACTAGACTCAACTGTGACCTGCCCATTACAAGCCTTGATGGCTACTAGACTCAACTGTGACCTGTCCATCACAAGCCCTGATGGCTACTAGACTCAACTGTGACCTGTCCATCACCAGCCCTGATGACTACTAGACTCAACTGTGACCTGTCCATCACACGACCTGATTGCAACTGGACTCACCTGTGACTTGTCTGTCACCAGCCGTGACGGTGACAGGGATAGTGAGGCCAACCTCTGTGGGCATGTAGAAGTGTACAACAAACACGTGCTGGTTTGGATTGTCTATCTGACCTTCTATCTCAACCTCAGTCTGCAACATAGAATCACACCATTAAATGCTTGTCTTTTTGCTTGAAAATGGTCTGCAAGGGTTATCACAGAAACTTATTGCAAAAATCATGTGACAAAAGAGTTGGGTTTCACATTGGTCTTGACAGTAATCTGGTTAATATGGGAAGAAAGCCCAGCAAGAGGCAGGTCTGAGACATTTAAAACTTCGCTGAATCTCTGACAAACCTAGATAACAACATATTATAACTGGAGATAACAGGGATTAAAGACACAACCATTGGTTCCTGGAATGACAAAGACTGTCCCTCTGATGACTAGCCACCCATGCCCCAAAAGGCCTTAATTTTGGCATATCATCTAAAATAAACCTAAACCTCTGGGTGTGTGGTGAAAAAGAAAAGGACAATATAGTCATGATACAAGCCATATATAGAGAGAAACATAACGATACTCACACTGGTAGCGTTGAGCCTGACAAGTCCAACATTGGGATCCATCACATTGTATGGACGTTCTGTGGCAAGCAGACCTTGGTTAGGAGACTGTTCAAAGTCTACTCTAAACGATCCCACAGGTGATGAATACGTAGAGGGGATACACCTGGAATGATGTGTCTTTATTCACAACAAATTCACTCAGTCAAGGGAAAGAGTCCATACTGTTTAACATTGCAGTCAGACATATTCCAGCTATACAATAGCTGCCTGTATTTAATCAAGTCTGGAACACGCAAACGAGAACACTCTAACCACTAGGCTAACCCGGCATCCTAGAGAGATTTATGATGTTTTCTATTTTTTCTTTAGGAAAACTGCAGATACTGTTTGCACAAAGGCTTAATGATATATTAAAGATGGTGTGAAGTATACATACACTCCATTGACTTTGATGCAGATGATCCTGGGTTTGATGAAGTTGGTTGTCCACTCACCATATGGAATAGCAACAACTGAATCCTGGAATACATAGAACATCTATCACACAATGTTTCTTTTGTGGAATCCCTGTCCAATTCCTTTAACAATGCATGTAAATCCCACTTCATAGTGATTATGTAAGAATTCCTTCTTCAGACAAGAACATAATTTGTGAGTGAGTATTGCTTTATGCAATATTCCATCAATATCACAGGAATGAAATGGGCTTTGCACATTGTGGGGATCGAACCCAGGTTTTCATCATGACAAGCAGACACTTTAACCATTAGGCTGCCCAACATAATGTTAGGATAGACTCAAGTTTACAGAAATTCCATATAAGATAATAAGACCATGGAACAAAACGCTGTTGAGATTAGACAAATATATATTGGTTACTTATGCAGCAAGCTCATACAACAGTGAAATGTACTTACAATAGCTGCGTCAACATTGTCATCACCCCGGATGGTTAGTGAGACGTAGCCTGTGCTGATATTGAAGACAGCCACCATGCCTAACTCATCATTGAGCACCTGGCGACACAGTGAACTGGAACAAACACACAGCCATCATCTTCCAGGCAACATCCACAGCAGGTGCTTGGATAGAAACTCAAAGACTCCAGCATCACTAGGATGTTGAATAATTCTCAGATACGTTATGATGTCTAATGCAGATCATTTTCTGCATGTATAGTCCCATTTATTGAGTGACATCTACATTTGGTAAAATTAAGGGTAAATAAGGTAGACATTTAAATGTGCTTCTAGCATCAAGAGTAAAGATCAGCCCAGTTATATAGATCATGAGCATTTACGAATGACTTCAGTGGTATCCTAATTCCTCACAGCACATAATGGTTATCATTACTTACCTGTAATAGCAATCATTGAGCTTGAGTATGGCCTTCTGTCGGCCAGCCTCGGATGCCACATCCACATCCACGTTCTGCACCACAGATGTTGGATTGAAGTAGTTGAAGACCAGCACGTAGTCGCCTGGCTCCGGGATCACAAGGTCAAGGTAGAAGAAGGTCTGTCGTGACAAGAGGTGATTGTTCAGTATAACATGCAGCTGTCATCATACCTCCACTGCTTTGAGTGAGTGAGTGGAGTGAGTGGGTGGTAGGGTGGTGAGTGAGTGAGTGAGTGAGTGAGTGAGTGAATGAGTGGGTTTTAAGCAATATACCACTAATATCATAGAGGGAACACCAGAAATAGCCTTTACACTCACTCGGCAGAAATGGGCATATGCTGTTTCAATAGGGGTACATGTGATTAGATGTCACATGACCGGAAACTAGCGACATGTGCATGTCTACATCATGTTTATGTGAATGATATAAACCATTCTTGAAAATCATACAGTTACTTTGATCATGGACATATCAGAAGCATCTTAGGTTCAAAACGTATTGATAGCCCCTCATAGTGTGACAAGAAATCTGATCACAATGTGTCACCAACATCTTGTAGCTTACCTGGTTGCCATTCAAGTGTGCCATCCCCGTGGTTTCTAGTTCATCCACGACATCAGCATCAGGATACAGACTCACACTGACCCTCTGCTGGTCCTCGATAACATAGCCACCCTCCCCTCGCACCGTGGGGTACAAGGAGATGTCTGGGTACTGGTAGTGCAGGCATCTACAGGGACAGCAGACAGTGTAAGGGGTTATACAAGCAATAGACGTGTTCATGATAATACAGTTGCAATAACATAACACATCATCTGAAGTCAACACTACAATGTTACACAATTACAGGTTTACTCTGATGCCCATAACAATATTCCTTTTATCTGGGTCTGTAAAGCAGTTAAGAAAGAGTGACTGATTTGTGTCTTTTTGTTGTTTGAATAATGTTCCATTTATATCATGTCATGTTCCATTTATATCATGTCATGTTCCATTTATATCATGTCATGTTCCAGTTATATCATATAATGTTCCAGTTATATTGTATAATGTTCCAGTTATATCATGTCATGTTCCAGTTATATCATATGTTCCATTTATATCATGTCATGTTCCAAATATATCATATAATGTTCCAGTTATATTGTATAATGTTCCAGTTATATCATGACATGTTCCAGTTATATCATATAATGTTCCATTTATATCATGTCATGTTTCAGTTATATCATATAATGTTGCAGTTATATTGTATAATGTTCAAGTTATATCATGACATGTTCCAGTTATATCAAATCATGTTCCAGTTATATCATGTCATTTCCTGTTCAATATATATCATATAATATATTGTGGTGGCGTATGGTCCTGTGCATAGAGCTCAGGTCACAAATTAGTTGAAGTTAAGCAACGATGAGCTTGGACAGTCCTTGGATGGGTGACCGTGTTTGGCAGCTTGACTTCTGAGTTTCTAGGACTTTGGTCCTGTCCTATATAATGTTCCAGATATATCATGTCATGTTAAAGTCATATCATGTCATGTTTTAGTTATATAACATCACTATCCAGTTATATCATGTCATGTTTTGTTATATAACATCATGATCCAATTATATCAGGTCATGTTCTAGATATATAACATCATGTTCAATAATGTCATGTTATTGTTATATAACATCATGATTCAGTTATATGTCATAGTTATATAACATCACAATAAGTTATATGTCATGTTCTCATTATATAACATCGCTGATAGTTTATATCATGTAATGATCTAGTTATATAACATCACATTTCAATATTATCAAGTCATGTTCTAGTTGTATCATGGGGTATCATGTACCGTGGGGTACAAGGAGATGTCTGGGTACTGGTAGTGCAGGCATCTACAGGGACAGCAGACAGTGTAGGGGGTTATACAAGCAATAGACGTGTTCATGATAATACAGCTGCAATAACATAACACATCATCTGAAGTCAACACTACAATGTTACACAATTACAGGTTTACTCTGATGCCCATAACAATATTCCTTTGTTATCTGGGTCTGTAAAGCAGTTAAGAAAGAGTGACTGATTTGTGTCTTTTTGTTGTTTGAATAATGTTCCATTTATATCATGTCATGTTCCATTTATATCATGTCATGTTCCATTTATATCATGTCATGTTCCATTTATATCATATAATGTTCCAGTTATATTGTATAATGTTCCAGTTATATCATGTCATGTTCCATTTATATCATGTCATGTTCCAAATATATCATATAATGTTCCAGTTATATTGTATAATGTTCCAGTTATATCATGACATGTTCCAGTTATATCATACAATGTTCCATTTATATCATGTCATGTTTCAGTTATATCATATAATGTTGCAGTTATATTGTATAATGTTCAAGTTATATCATGACATGTTCCAGTTATATCATGTCATGTTCCAGTTATATCATATGTTCCATTTATACCATGTCATGTTCCAAATATATCATATAATGTTCCAGTTATATTGTATAATGTTTCAGTTATATCATGACATGTTCCAGTTATATCATGTCATTTCCTGTTCAATATATATCATATAATATATTGTGGTGGCGTATGGTCCTGTGCATAGAGCTCAGGTCACAAATTAGTTGAAGTTAAGCAACGATGAGCTCGGACAGTCCTTGGATGGGTGACCGTGTTTGGCAGCTTGACTTCTGAGTTTCTAGGACTTTGGTCCTGTCCTATATAATGTTCCAGATATATCATGTCATGTTAAAGTCATATCATGTCATGTTTTAGTTATATAACATCACTATCCAGTTATATCATGTCATGTTTTGTTATATAACATCATGATCCAATTATATCAGGTCATGTTCTAGATATATAACATCATGTTCAATAATGTCATGTTATTGTTATATAACATCATGATTCAGTTATATGTCATAGTTATATAACATCACAATAAGTTATATGTCATGTTCTCATTATATAACATCGTGATAGTTATATCATGTAATGATCTAGTTATATAACATCACATTTCAATATTATCAAGTCATGTTCTAGTTATATAACATCACATTCCAGTTACATCATGTCCTCATTATATAACATCACGTTCCAATAATATGTCATGTTCTAGTTATATAACATCACGATCCAGTTATACAGGTCATGTTCTAGTTATATAACATCACGATCCAGTTATATCATGTCATGTTCTAGTTGTATCATGTCATGTTCCAGTTGTATCACATCATGTCAGCTGTATATGGGAGGAAAAGCAGAAGTAATGCTGTTCTTACTTGTTTAACACTTTGTTGAAATCCACGGGCCCTGGTTTGAGTACCAGGATTTAATAGCACAACATTATGTGTCTGGCAATGCAACTTATGGACAGTTAATTGTATAGATAACTAGGCCAACTGTGCTTTGATTTTCTCAAGGATGTTGGAATACAAATGATCAATCACACTTACGGGCCATCATCTTTTGGAATGCTACATGGTCGAATGATCTTTTTTTGTAGAACACTGGCCTCATAGAAGCCTTGTGGTATCAGCACAAAGTAATCCTGAAATGTACAAGACATCTTTGCAACAGAGTTCTATTGCCTTGTAAATTTTAAGATACAGTCATGTATCTCTCAGTTATAATGCTCCTACAGACATTATCTTCTTTTTACTTTTACCTATTTCTTCAGGAACAACTCCATATAGAATTGAAGGCTCACATTTTGCAATAGAATTTAACAGGAACATCACTCCTGAAACTTCTACAACCAACAATACTTTAACAATACAATTTAAAAAAACACACTTTCAAATGCAATTTAAAAAAATAGAGAAAAGAATTAGATATCAGTAATTGATGAATCTGATATGCCAGAGTACTGACCAAGAAGACGCTGTCTGGGACTTGGGTGGAGATCCTCCATCTCCCAGGGTTCAATACAAAGGTGGAGCCAGTTGCCGTGCTGCCAACCTTGCTGAAGGAGGGGTCACGGTTGGGCAGGAACACTATCTCACTGGTCTGCTCAATGTCAGTCGAGATGTCTGGTGTGAGAGTCACCTTCCCCTTGACCGTATGGTCGTTCCTGTTTATGTAACGGTAGATGATCTGGTACAGGCTGGGCTTGTTAATGTATATGTCCAGCACAACCTCTGGCTGCAAAAGAGGACAAGGATCATCTTCAACTGTACTGTCAGGTATCTTGAGTACATACTGTCTCTGAATGGCATGTAGAAGTGATACACAGTGAAAATCTATAGATGTCAACTCCTTTATTTTGAGGAACAGAACATTTCAGAGCATATTCTGACTGCTTCATCCACCTGACCTCCATCGACCTTTTTCAGTACATATATTCACACATTGATATACAGTAAACTACCTTTAAAACAACCATGCTTCTAACAAACCCACATATAACAAACTGCTTTTTAGGTCCTTTTCTGTATATATTAGCAGTGTACAAAAAGGTTTCCAAATTCTGCTAGCCATGATGAACATTTTTATCTGGCCATAATCTTGCATGATTTAAAAGTGTATAATAATTTAACGAGTCTGAGAGAGTGATATATTTACAAAATGGCCCCAAGAAATGTTACTAGCCAGTCAGACCAGTGACTGTGGAGATTTACTGTCCCGAATGGAGTTTTACTAGCCACTGGCCCACTAGCCCATTCGGGATTTTGAAGTATGGTTATAATGAACTAAAACTAGGGGCCCTTTCAGTTCCTATACCTGCAGTTAAATACATTTTAAAGTAATGGACTACTATGCCACTTACCATCTGGCTTAACCGTCGTATTCCTACCAATTTAGTGAGTTTGGTTTTATGCCGCTCTAAGCAACATCTCAGCAGTATCGTGGGGGGAACATCAGAAATCAGGTTTTATAAATTTTACCCATATGGGAAATCTTTGGTGTGACAAGCAAATGCTTCAACCACTAGGCTACTCCACTATTTCCTTATCAATTCCTATCCAGTTAAGTGGACTTACCTGAATATCAATAAGAACGGCATATCCCCTCCATGAGTAGTTTGGGAAGATCCTTTCATCATAGCCATAACGGATCTGAGCGCCCTCTGGTGTTGTGCCATCTTCAATCTCATACTTGTACTGGTGCAGATCAGGGTAGAAGTGGGACTCTATCGGGCTGAAAGTACATCACATAACTCCATAAATGTGTCTGCATCTACTGTGTGACTTACAGAGGTACAGATAAGCTGCATATCTGCGTAAATTACGCAAATATTTATGTGAAAACTCAATTCAAATTATGTCTGCTGTGTGCAAGTATGCTTGAATATTTGTAAATACTTAATAAAACGTTAAATCTTAGTTTGCATACCGGTGAATTAGTTCCTGTAATTAAAATCTGAAAACCAATATTGACTATCCTTGCAAGGTTTCACTAGCTGGGAGATTGTTGTTACCTCCCTTTGTTCAGTGACTAAAGCGCAGAGTATGTATGTATGTATGTATGTATGTATGTATGTATGTATGTATGTATGTATGTATGTATGTATGTATGTATGTATGTATGTATGTATGTATGTATGTATGTATGTATGTATGTATGTATGTATGTATGTATGTATGTATGTATGTATGTATGTATGTATGTATGTATGTATGTATGTATTACCATGTGACTATTTGTTGAAATATGCCATCCAAACAATAGGGCAGGAAATCATTAGCATCAAAAGTTCAAACCAACACTTTATTTATGTCCATACAATTTTACAATTAATGCAAAATGGCAAAATACCAATTTGCGTTTGAGTCAGGTGGGTACAATTCATTTGGTTACTTACAGGAAAATTGGGATACCCAATTGTGAACACAAGCGAGTACATAACTCAATGACCCAAACAGTTATCTGTAGCTCTGGACTTCAATCATATTTAACACTGAATATGTAAACTCCACTGCATAAATCATACTAACTACCAAAATTACTCCAACAGGATCAATAGTCATAAAAACATGATGTTATTTTGCAGATGTTTAGTTTGTGACAAGAACTAATTTGATTCAACACATTTCTCTCCCAGTATGTCAGTTATCATATGATAAACCTCATCCAACATTTCACTGTCAATAGACAAGTTGGTAAGGTCACAGACTGCTGTAGTTGTTCTTCCAGAATTATGAATTAGCGAGTGAGGTTAGTTTTAAGCTGCTTTTAGCAATATTCCAGCAATATCACAGCGGGGGACACCAGATATGGGCTTCACACATTGTACCCATGTGGTGAATTGAACCCGGGTCTTTGGCGTGACGAGTGAACACTTTAACCATTAGGTTATCCTACCGCCCCTCCAGAATTATGGTGTTGTGATGTACAAACAAACGAAGAAAAACCTGTTTGGGTACATACATGTTACATTTTGTTCCTGATACTCTGGGTTTGCAAACACACTGTCCATTGTTCTTGTTGCAGGCGGTTGTGATGGAACCTCCAACATCACAGTTGCAGTCTGAAAGGAGAAGACAACAAAGGTTGTTTTTCTTGCATCTAATATCTTATTGCTGAATCTCTGTTACAGATGGGCACAAGGATCCAGAGAATTTCTTTTGTGTGCGTGTGTGCGAACAATGTAAATGACACCCCACCCCCCAATATATGTCCAATGTAAGTGACACCCCCCTGCATGTCATGTACAGAAATCAATGATACCCCCACTCCTTCACATCATTAAGCCTAGTTTTTTTTAAAGATTTTTAATGTACGAAATTGCTGCCCCCTCCCCCACAATATGTATGTGTACAAAACTGATGACCCCCCTACCTCCCCAGAAAAAAAAGGGTTTCCTTAAGACGAAACAGTACAAGTTCAGAACTAAGAGTTGTGTTGTGAAAATGTGAAAAATGTTCAATGAGCCATGACAATAAAGATATCCAAAAGGATTGAACTTCTTGACACTCCCAGAATAAATGAACTGTATTAACCAAATGTTATTAGCTAAATGTAGCATAAGTACTATAATACATCCATAGGCTGAGAACTATACGCAGTATATCCAGTGTCCCATATAGTATACATACCTTTGGGTAACTAATGTTTTAGTTCTTTACCAGGAGCTGCAACTTTGGTACCTTTTGTTCTTCATTACATTGCTATCTATGACACTATATACATACACACATTAATCCCTAATTTCACAATAACAGAACAACTTAATGATATAACTGCCAACACATGTCACTTTTCTGTCTGTAAATGCAACTTGAAATGGATTAAAACAAAGATAAAACAAACCTGTTCAGAACAGTAACCAGTATGTAAATTACCTAACCTGTGCTATTATTTGGAAGATGTTCAACATTTCTTGTCATTATACGAATGAAGCTAACTTACCCATGCAGCCAAATGGATTTCCCTCCAAGAGCCCAAAGTAGCCGTCAAGACATTGGTCACAGTTCCGTCCACCTGTATCAGGCTTGCACATACACTGTCCAGTGTTAGTGTCGCAAATATTGATGGCGCCCAATGTACCCGGCCGGAAACAATTGCACTCTGCAATACACCACTCAAGGTTTTACTTACAAAGATTTTAATAAATGGGACACATAGTCAATGTTTTTGGGAGTCATTTTCTAAATATTACGAGTTATGAAAATATATTGTAATTAAAATAATCCCATTTATTCCAAATAAAGCAAGGGCTGAGAAATCATATTTTGTGACATTTTCCTCTGTTGTAAACAATCTGATGCAGTATCTCTAGGCAGTATTTAGTGGAGTTACATGGATCCAAGGTACACTTATTTAATAATGATTGAATCAGCCATGACTCGTATGAAATTATTGTGGAAGTATTTTACAAAACAAATACACAGGAATAACAAGTCATTTAAAAACTAGCCAACAATGTGACAGACTGACAATTAAGCTAACCATAGGATTTGTCAAAACTCTATGTTTTCAGTTATATTCTGGATCATAGTGTCATTATTACATAATATTCAAAAGGTTGCAGTGACAAAATTAAACAAAACCTTTCTTACATAGCTAAGGCTGTCTCTCTTGAATGGAAACATTTTTTCAAAATATTCGCTATTCATTTTCATAATTCCTTTTAGTCTCATTCATAGATGAGAATACAATTACAACTTTTTAAAGAAAAAGCTGCTTTTCCTGAAAACGAATGATGCTCCTCTTGAGAGTTTGTTTCTGCTGTTGTGAGCAAAATAAAACAAAAGTTCCTTCTAACAAGAGGCACATGTTTTCCCAAAACAAATACACCTCATGACTACTTGATTTCTAAACTGGTCTACAAGATAAGTCTCATTATTTAAAACCAACAAGGTCATCCATACCTTCACAGCCACGTGGGTTGTTCCTGTTGAGGTTCCAGAAGCCTGGTTTACATGTGTCACAGATGCGTCCCATCACCTCGTCCTTGCACTCACACAGCTGCCCCTTGGTGACAGTTCCGCAGCCCCCAAGGGGGTAGCCAGGGATCTCCTTCGCTCCAGCAGGGTTGCAGTTGCACTCTACACACATAACACACCAACATTTACAACTCTAACTATTGAGGGATTATCAAAAGCTGTAAGAACTTGTGTTCAACTGTTTAATATCAATACAAAGTCATGATTTCATTACAGTGATTAGAAAACTAATGAAAAGACTTACTTTATGATCTAAACAAATCTTTGCTGTATTCATAACTGAAGAGTCAGCATGGTACATTTAGTGATCAGGTTTCATCAAAGAGATACAGTCATGTTTCATCTCTAACATCATTGCTGTAACCATGGTGTTTTGTTTCTAATTAACATGGTTAAGTTTCAAAGGTTTCTTGATTTTTTAACAAAATCTACAACATATGAAACTTCAACAGAGTAAGAGATAATGACAAGAAAACAGTGTTATAACAATTCCATCCCATGGGACACTTTAGAATAATGTTGTTCAATATAACAAAGATTAATATGGAAGAATATGTCGACTATAAAAACAAAGAGTCACATAAAGCCTTAAGAAGAGATAGGTACAAGGGAAGACAAAAAAAAGAAAAAAGTATTTAATGTGAAATAAATATACACAGAAGGCCCCTTCATTGGAAAAAACCCAGCACCAATTTTCGAACACTGTCTTAACTGACTAAAACTTCAAAGTAATATCGGCAAAATTTCAACCATACGGGAGTAATTATATGTAACTACAGTTTCTGAGAAGGTAACTCTGGAAAATAAGTCCCCAACGAGATGCAGAACTCCTTTCCAATATCCCCCTCCCAAGGGGAGGTGTAATAAAGTATTTGATATTGGATTCCATAGTCCCTAATATAGGATGAATCAACTGTAGTGAAGAAACAAGATAATGTAACACGCAGAAACATTTACCTGATATCTGTAATTATCAGTTAATTCCCTAGGGCAATTAAGTATAAATCATGAGTGCATGAGTAAGTTTGGTTTTACGTCACTTTTAGCAATATTCCAGCAATTTCATGGCGGGGGATTCCTGATATGGGCTTCACTCAATGTACCCATGTGGGGAATCGAACCTGGGTCTTCGACGTGACGAGCGAACGCTTTAACCACTAGGCTACCCCATGGCCCCTGTATAAATCATGAGCTAGTCCATCAACACATCATGTTGCTCACCTTCACAGTACGGGTAGTTGTAGAGTCCTTCCAGACATTTGTCACACATGAGACCCTGGAAGTTGCGTCTGCATGTACACTGGCCTGTTGTCTGGTCACATGTCCGTGTTAAGGACCCATAAACGTCGCAGTCGCACGCTGTGGGAGAGCAGTGAAGAAAACATATTGTCAAAATATACTACTGGAATAAAGTAACTGTGCATTAAGAGATGCGATGTCAAAAGTCAGTTCACAAATTCAGTATCGCGTGTGTCCACCATTGACATTGATGCAGGCTTGACACCGATGACACATGGTCGACACTGAGCGATTGAAGAAAGCTTGGAGAACGTTGTTCCATGTCTGAACCAATGCTTGTCCTAATGATCTCATCCCTGTATCGCAGACCCATCAAATTGCCATTGACAATGACAAGTTGTGACCGACCATAAGATGTGATGTCTCCCCATACCATAACGCCTCCTCAACCAAACTGTCAACGTTAAACAACAGATGTGCTGCCTATGATACATATAAAATATGCTTGATCTTAATGAGAAAATATTCGTATCTGTTCACACTGAACACAGTCAGGTTAACAATGTCAGCAATTATTTCTTAGTTGCATCACAGGTAAGTGAATCTTCTTGCTATATTCTATACAGAAAGGTTCATTCATAGTGCTGATGCTTCCATAGAAGTCATGTACTTACGGACACAGTCAGGGAATCGGTAGAAGCCTGGTGCACAACGATCACACTTGTAACTGCCAAAATTTGATCGACAGCGACACTGGCCATTGTCTGTACAGATTGGGCTGATAGAGCCAATGTCAGCACAGTCACACTCTGGAAGAAAGGGATGTGGTGTTACTTTCTAATATGATTGATTGATTGTTGCTTAATACCGTTGATTGATTGTTATATTCCAGTTTGATGGTGCTGGTCTGTAAATATTCCAGTTTTATGGCGGTGGTCTGTAAATAATTGAGTCTGGACCAGACAATCCAGTGATCAGCAGCATGAACATTGATCTATGCAATTGGGATACGATGACAGGTGTCAACCAAGTCAGCGAGCCTGACCACCCGATCCCATTAGTTGTCTCTTAAGACAAGCATGGGTTACTGAAGACCAATTCTAACCCGGATCTTCACAGGTCTACTATAATTGGTAATACAGGTAAAACTGTCTCAACACTAACTCCAAATAATTCTCACCTCTACAGTCAGGGTAGCTGAAGTAACCGGGCGTACATCTGTCACACTGTAGGCCAGAGAAGTTGGGCTTACAGAAGCATTCTCCCCACCTTGTCACAGATCTCCCCTTCTGTACCCTGAGGGTCGCAGTTACAGTCTGGGGAAGCAATACATAGGCTATTTTTGATTGACTGAGTTTAGTTTTAATCCGCTTTTAGTAATATTCCAGCAATATCATGGCGGGAGACACCAGAAATGGGCTTCACATATTGTACCCATGTGGGGATTCGAACCCGGATCTTTGGCGTGGCACGAGCAACGCTTTAACCACTAGGCTACCCCACTGCCCCATCATACGCTATTAACCATAGTCATGCAAGCACCTGCATAACCCCATTAGGTCTGATAGACCTCACTTTACTGGTAATAGACGTGTGCCATTTGGGTCACTGGGTGATACTCTTCACCATGTGAGTGACTGATATTAGTTTTATGATGCTTTTAGTTTTCCAGCAATATCACGGTGAGGTACACCAGAAATGGCCTTCACACATTGTACCCATTTTGGGAATCCGACCTGGGTTTTCAGCATGACGAGAGGATGCTTTAACCATTAGGCTACCCCACTACACCCTCTTTATTAATTTTCAGTCTATTAAAAGTATCACACCCTCCTTGCATATCACGCTTTTATTGCAGAATACTTATGAATTCAAAATATATTCCTATCTGGTTATCACAGCAAGGTGGTATTCTGTACACAGACAAGGTATTCATTTTTTACTTATTATATCTATCACTTCATTGAAATATATTCATAAATCTTAAATTTTTAAATCCATCTCTTTACTTTGACAATTGGAGCTCAATCAAACTGGCTTGTAATAAAACAAACCTTCTTTGAAAGAGACCAGAAACAGCTACCTAGCTGTTGGTAACTTACAGTCGCAGTTGGGAAAGTTGTAGAAGCCATCAGCACACATGCTGCAGTCCCTGCCGCCGTAGTTCTGGGTACACTGACACTGGCCATTGCTGATGTCACACGTGGTGGTGGGGGAGCCGATGCTGTTGCACACGCAGGCTGCAATACACAACGTACATAAACAATGAGTGTGCTGTCTGTCAGAATGTATGAAAACCTGAAACCTCCATAAGTAAATCTGTTAGAAAGAAGACTGTTCTCCAAACCAGGGTTGAGAATGGGTATGAGTGAAAAGTGGAAAATGAGCCGGGGGGTCTTGGCGGCTACAGGGTTAGATAATTTACAAAATTGTCCCCAGCGCAATCTAATCCACGGATCCATTGAAAATTGTCATCCCTGCAAAATATTAATGTTTGTCAAAGTACAATTTACAGGTGGTTCACTCTATTTGACTTTCACTTATCATTATGACACTGGCCTCAGAATTCTGAATGATGAACTGTTCTGATAACGTACAGACCAGGGTACAATAATCAACCAAGCCACTGAGATTGAACACCCGATCTAACTGGTTGCCTCTAACAGGTGAGGTGAAATTGGGTTTTACGTCGTGCTTGAGAATATTTCACTCACATGACGACGTGCATGCATGTGTATGTGTATGTGCGGCTGCTTGTACTAGCCCAGACTTAAGCTGGTTTTATAGTGCTAGCTCACTGAGATACCATGACGCAGTGAAGCATGAATACCCCACTCAGACACATTATACTGACTCCAAGCCGACCAGTCCTTATTGTACCCATTAATGCCGAACGCCAGACAGGGACCAACAAGTACCAAATTTTAACGTCGCTTGGTATGACGCGGTCGGGGATTGAAGGTTGCCTCTAACAACCAGCAGGGGTGGCCAGGGACCTATCAAACCATGCACTCCTTGAAATATCAGCAGTTGTGGCTGTAGGGTACTTACGCTGACATGTAGGGAAGTTGTAGTATCCAAGCGCACACATGTCACACTTCTGTCCGTCGAAGTTGGGTTTGCAGGGGCAGCTTCCACTCTGTACAGTACAGATAGAGCCCTCGGTACCATTGAAGTCGCAGTCACAAGGGATGCAAGTAGGGTAACCATAGTAGCCCACACTGCATCTGAATTACAGGAAATTTCAACTTTGTAAAATGTCATCTTCCTATGCAACTTCATTCACAGCTTCTAGTTTCTATAGCAGTTTGGCTAGCTGTGATAGAATAAGTGAGTGCAGTTTTAATGACTATTTTAATTTAATGCTGATTCAGCTTTATAGGGAGGCATTTCTGAGATGATGATCTCCTCAGACCTCTACAGCTTTGTTGAAACTAACAAGCACAGGTATGGGATTGATATACAATGTCCAGGTCAAAAATTAGCAAACCCACATGGGTTTCTAGCTCCAAAGGGACACCTCTGCGTAAGAGACTGCAGTGGTTCTGACAACTGGGCAACCCATTCGTCCTACAAGGGTTGAACCCCTCCTACCTGTCACAGAGCTCTCCTGTGTACTCGGGTCGGCACAAGCACCTGCCAGATCCCTCCTCACACTCTCCTGTGGATACATGCAGGTCACACTGACAAGCTGCAAAGAAACACCACATTGTTATAACCTCATCCAATCATCATATATGATAAATATAACAACCCTTAACAAAACATAACCCCATGGTTAAAACACATCGTAGGACTACAAGAAATCATCATAAGGTAAGTTAATGTACAGTTATGACATTGCATGCACTGTTAGCTTTGAGGTCTTACTCAGGATACCTGACATGCTTATTAGTGCATAAACCTGCAGTTGACAACAAGATTATGTGAATAATTGTGCAGAATATCCCAGTTCTATAGTAGGTGATCATCAGCAATGTTCTGATGCAGGTGGTATAGGTGAGAGCTTCTCAGCAGTTAAGCAAGTTATGTGATTTATGGGTATTGTATGGCTAATATAGTATGACCAGAAATTATTGAGAATTTTAGGAATATGTTTAATTGGATTTCTAGTATAAACAACCTTGGCCAGCTATCAAGTGCTTGGTTTCATTCAAGAGAGACAACTCCGTTAATCCTTTTCATTAGTTTGTGAAGAGTTATCCCCTTTGTTTACTTGCTAGCAGACGACATTTTCAGTGATCCTCAGTATGGATGATTTAGAGAAGAGGAAGTTGATTTTATAGTATTATAACAAGGACATCAGATCAGCTAAAGTGATTTCAAGTAGAACAGGCATCCCTTTGCCCACTGATTATCGTGCAATGGATATGGCATTGAGCACCAGGGAGGTGCAGATAGGCCCAGAAAATTGTCAGTCAGTGACAGGAGGCGGCTTGGTATTCTTGTTTCTAAAACCAAACTAGGAGTTTAGAAAACTTAAGGCTGGATATGATTGATAGAGGAACTGTGGGTGTTTGTAAGGAGACAATTAGAACTGAGCTGCATGCAATGGGTTGGCAGAAAAGTCGAGGAATTCCATCACCGATCATGAAACCTGAACAAAAGGAGCGAAGGTTGAACTGGTGCTTACAGCATAGAAATTTTAACTGGGACAATGTGATTTCTCAGATGAAAGTTCTGTGTGGCTGTTTCCTAATACACTGAAATTCTGGATCAAACAAACTGAAAAACTTTTGTATCAGCACCCAAAGTACAGTCCGAAATTTAACGTGTGGGGTGGCATATCTGTGTTAGGGGCAACACCCCTCTGTGTATTTGAAAGCAATATGAACAGTGAGCGGTACACAGATATTCTCGAGGGACATTTACTTCCATCTGCTCACGTGTTCTATGGACATTTTTGGATTTTCCAGCAGGACAATGATCCAAAACATCGGTCAAAGCATTCACAGGCCTGGTTTCGGACCCAAAATATGACATTATTAGATTGGCCAAGCTATAGCCCTGACCTAAATCCAATAGAAAATGTTTGGGGACTTATGAAGGAAAGTGTCAATAAGAAAAATCTGACAAATATTGCTGAAATGAAAGAAGAGGTGGTCCGATATTGGGACAGCATGGACCACGACTTTCTAACTTCTTGGATCAGTAGTATGCTCCGCCTCATTGAAGCTTATGCCCATGGTAATGGTTCACCTGTCTTTGAATCTGGAGTTATGTTCTGCTAATATTCACATTTAATACGTGAGTAATGAGTGAAAAAAATATAAAAAATTACAACCTTAAAATTCTCAATAATTTCTAGTTGTTCTGTAACAAGGTCCTAGCTGCACATGCAGGTTTGTGCTTGGCTACTCTGTAATGTTCTATCTAAAGTTGCATTAGTATGTGGCTACATAGCAAGGTTCTCTCCATAGGAACGGGTGCTTGTATAGCTACTCAAGCAAAATGAGGCCTTGATATGATATACATCCCGATAATATGGGTGTGAAATGATTTCAATACAGTACAGTATTTCCTAACTTCAGATTCTCTCCCTTTTTGTAAGTGAATCACAACCCTGTTTTTACATCTAAGATGGCAATATGGGATATTGCAGGGGAGAAACATATAAGATTGGGGGCACTGTGCAGATTCTGAGAATCTGTATGAACTGGTTCTTGAACTTTTTTTTTCACATGTGTTTACACCAATTTAGCATGTAATATTATGGCTACTCAGTACGTTTCTAGCTACAGAAGCAGGTGCTTGTATGGCTACTCAGTAAGTTTCTAGCTACAGAAGCAGGTGCTTGTATGGCTACTCAGTAAGTTTCTAGCTACAGAAGCAGGTGCTTGTATGGCTACTCAGTAAGTTTCTAGCTACAGAAGCAGGTGCTTGTATGGCTACTCAGTAAGTTTCTAGCTACAGAAGCAGGTGCCTGTATGGCTGCTCAGTAAGTTTCGAGCTACAGAGGCAGGAGGTTGTATGGCTACACAGTGTGCTTCTTGCTACAAGTGAATAAGCTACTCACGACGACAAGCATCTGTAGCATTGCGGAGCACTCTGTATGGGCGGAAGTAGCCGGGAGTGCACTGCTCACAGTTGTTTCCCATTGTGTTGTCCTGCAGAATTGATCATCAGGTTATGCATATGTCATGTATAGGGGAAAAGCAAATTAAAACCTGTGTAACTTTATACATGATTAGCTTGATGGTTCATATAAGAAAGTGTTACATAGAACAGAATGTGACGATGAGCACAATATGTAACCATAAATACAGCAAATGGTCTGAACCATATGTATGAAAATAGCAATGGCCAGCACCATACCATATTTTCTCTTGGAGATTCAGTATTTTGTAAAAAAAGATTTTACAAGTCTTATGTGAAGAAAAACCTATATTATATGCCTTCAGCGAATTCAGGAAAAGGATTGGGCATGAACAAATTTGGTCAATAAAAATTTGAAATTTTGATAAACATCACTAGTTATAATGATTTACCAATCAAACCGATCTCCTTTCCTGTTAGGAAATATGTAGAGAACAAGTTTCCAATGCATATTTCTCATAAACTAAGCCAGATATAACAGTCGGCAAAACACAGTGATTCTTTCTTTTGTTCTTTTTCTGTATTTCATTCATTCACATATAATTCTTGCTCTTCATTCATTCATTCATTCATTCATTGTAAAATTCCGACTGATACGATAAACTTGCTGAAGTACTGTTAAACGCAGCCGTAGTTGCGCTGGGAAGGAACCAAGTCACTGTGTGCGTTGGAGCATGACAGACACACGCTAATTAGTACAAATGATAAATAAAGCAAGCGAGTGACCTATCCCTGTTGTAGATTATCCCTGGGTAAAACAAAACCAAAAACAACTTCAAAGAATTTTGATGCAATGATCAATAAAAAATGTTATGAAACTAGCTGTAGATGTTCAGAAATCAGGGTGTTTGCTGCTTTACATGTTCATCAGCCACTCACCCTGCAATTCTGGCAGACACCGCCGCCCTCATAGGTGCCATAGATATCAATACTCTGCCGCAGTCGGTCCACCTCCTCATCGTACACACACTCGCCACTGTGGCCATAACACTGGCACGCTGCAAGGAGAAACACAAGCAGCGGATAGTGAGGCTTTCACCTATATATCATGTCCTACTGAGACTCAGAAAAATCTCAGCAGTCCGTTCTCAGTATGTTGCATCATGTTAAGGACATGTTAAGTGTGGCCTGTGACAGATATTTTATTTTTAAGTCGACTTGCCTAGTAGCATTTGGATATTTTTTTCTTGGAATATCCCTAGATATGAATAAGAACAAGTTGATGACACCTTGCTCTCTGAACCAGAAGCAATTTGACTAGAAGGTTTCAAACAAGTGGGTCACATCATAGGCTGTATCAACACTTTTTAAGCACACCTGCCCTTCAAGGAAACTTGTAACTTAATATATTTAAAGGGTGAGCCACATGTACAGGAATTAGTAAACTTTTAAAATGTTGCAATCTCATGTGGAATTCATATGGGAATATCACAGGTTAAAATGGTTTACAATGTCACCTCACTATATTCTAGTGCTATGAATCTCATTGCTAAACTCGCAAATTCTTGTTGCTTAACATACGTTCACACTCGAAGCGCAGATCTGCTAAAGCTCGCTGCCACTTCTTCTGTACAAATCCTGGGCAGCAGTACTCGCACTGGTCTCCACACGTGTTGTGCACACAGTTACAGAGGAGCTTGTTGGCGTCATTCAGGTCCGGGCGATCACACGTGTTGGCGTGACCATTGCACACGCAGCGGCCACCAATGGAGATGTCTTTGATACTGTAGTAGTACTGTAAACAGTGGAGATTGGGATCTAGGGTTAATCATGTACAACATACTTCAGATTAGAACAGACACGGGGCTCCCTGCATATGGGGAAAACTTCAGTACCTAGGCCCAGAAGATGACAGAAAATGGTGATTATAGTGTGCAAAGTTCAAAATGGAAAAGGAAAATGTTTGGATTTTATTGATTTTCAGTGAATGAAAGGAGATTGGATGTTAGTGACCTGATATATCAAGTGATGTTGTGATGAAGAGTGAGTGAGTATGGTTTTATGCCCCTTCTAGCAATATTCCAGCAAAAGCACTTCAGGGACGACAGAATTGTGATGAAGAAACACCTTAGGTATTTTTTCACCATTCAATACATTCTGTCTGCCAGGGCAAACAGTGAGTCATAAAATTCAAAGTATTTCTTCCAATATTGTCTGCAACTGCCAAAATGAAAGTGATAACTCATAAAAAAAACCTAAACACTTCATTCCATAATTTGTTTTCATGTAGAATTTAAGCTATCAGCATGTTCAGATGAAACATATTAATGAGAGACAGATTTTAATTGGACATTGTCATGTGCAGCTAATCACAATGGAAATGTTAGAGTACAATGAATTAATTTCAAAGTTTTAATGTATAAAGAAAATTCTAACACATCTATTATTAAGTTTTTGCAATTTAAACAAGAAAAAATTGTGTCCAGGGACACGGAAGCCCCCGCTGACATTCATAAGGCATATAAAGATCAATAATTGAAAAAAATTCACGAACAAGTTCAATAAACATCTATGCAACTATCAGATGCACACCTTTCGAGTCCCAGTGAAACACATGTATAAGCTTAATCAATTCTGTTGAGCAGTTTTTGTGGAGAAGTGGATAGACTTAATCCCCTATTTCACTATCATCAGAGAGAAATTCAACAAAATTTATCTAAGTTCAAATGTCTCTAAACATACAAAAACTATAAAATACAAAAACAAAATATGAGATGCACACCTTTAGAGTCTCTATAAAAGACATATGTAAGCTAAATCAGTTTTGTGCAGTGGTTTTTGAGGAGAACTGGATAAAGTACACCCCTGTTGTATGGGACGAACAGGATGAATAGAACCAAATTCAACTAAGTTCAAACATCTGTAGAAGTGACAAAATTAAGAAATTGGATGAACAAGGTATGAGATGCACACCTTTAGAGTCCCAATGAAACACACATAGAAGCTCAATCAATTCTGTTGAGCAGCTTTTGTGGAGAAGTGGATAGTCTTCATCCCCTATAACACTATATCCAGAGAGAAATTCAACAAAATTTATCTAAGTTCAAACGACATTAAAATTGGAAAAATAAATAAAATACAAAATCAAAATATGAGATGCACGCCTTTAGAGTCCCTATAAAGCACATGTGTAATCTAAATGAATTCCATAAAGTAGATTTTGAGGAGAAGTGGATAACGTACACCCCCTTGTTGGATGGAACGAACACTGGCTGAATAGAACAAAATTCAACTAAGTTCAAACATCTGTAAAAGTGACCAAATTCAGAAACTGCATAAAAAGTTATGAAATGCACACCTTTAGAGTCCCTACAAAAGACACGTAAGCATTCATTCAATTCTGTTGAGCAGTTTTTGTGGAGAAGTGGATAGACTTCATCCCCTATTACACTATCATAGAAAAATTCAGCAAAATGTACCTAAGTTCAAATGTCTCTAAACTTACAAAAAACAATAAAAAATATAAAAACAAAATATGAGATGCACACCATTAGAGTCCCAAGAAAGCCCATGTATAAGTTCATTGAATTCCACAGAGAGTTTTTTTGTGGAGAAGTGGATAGACTTCATCCCCTATTACACTATCATCATATAGAAATTCAGCAAAATGTACCTAAGTTCAAATGTCTTTAAACTCGTAAAAAACAATAAAATACAAAACAAAATATGAGGTACACCATTAGAGTCCCAAGCCCCCATGTATAAGTTCATTGAATTCCACAGAGAGTATTTTTGGAGAAGTGGATAGAGTATATTCCCTGTTTCAAATGTATGGACTAAGCATAACCCTATATGCCCCCAGCCATATATGAACATCTAAGCATTTAAATGAATGAACACAACATTGTCCCAACAAGTTCCAACTAACCCTTCGTGTGACTGTTGGGTCCCGTCTTGCAATGGCCATCAGATGGCCAAGAAGAGTTTTGCTGCGGATCAGCCTCATTCTGATGTTAGTAGCCTTTGTCCACTCTTGAAGGTCGTATGCATAAGAGAAGTTCTGGGCATTGGGTCTCCCATTAACGAGCGAAACCACAATCTGAAAACAGACAACAGAACCATGCAGTTACCAGAAAACCTGTACCATCATAAAATCATTTATGTAAGAAAAATTCCTTCAACATTTATTATCACCATGGATATATGTTGTTGCAATAACCATGGCAAAATGGCAGTCAATAACCTCCAGTGGGTCAGGTGCTTAACCTCTGACCAACATCACACTGCTTATTTGCACAGTAACATAATTATTCCTTGTACTGCAAGAAAATCCATGGTGTGGCCAGTATGAAAAAGAATGTCATACTGACTAGTTCCACAATGTGCATCATGCTTTTAATATAAAATGAAAAAAATTGTTATCACTGTTTCTGGACTTGAGGCTCTTACCTGCCATAACATAATACCATATTTGTGGAGTTAGTTCAAATATTTCACTGCATATGATGTGTCTATACACTGTCATGACTACACAAGCCAGAGTTTTGTTTTATTTTGTTTCGTTTTTTGTTTAACGTCATACTCAGGCCTACAAAAAATGCTGTGGTTCCGATTACCCGACCGACCCTTGTATTCTGGTGCCGACTCTATTTTTTTATGAAATGAATAAGAATGAATAAGATATGCTTTCAATCCCATTGTTTTTTCACGGCACCAACAGATATCGGTCATTCTGATAGAGAAAGTTGATATGATGGCCACAAGCTTGATTGAATAAACAATTACACATTAATAAATGTGTTATTAGTTTGTACTTTACTTCTAAAAAGAATATGTAAAAAAAGAAATGCCGACCTACCTACCCTAAATTTTAAAGAGTTGTAATCAGAACCGCAACATTTTGTTTTTATTTGGCCTCAGCAATATTCCAGGTACATGACAACAGTCTGTAAATAATAAAGTCTGGACCAGACAATCCAGTGATCCAAAGCATGAGCATCCGTCTAAGCAATCGGGATACGATGACATGTGTCAACCAATCGGCAAGTCTTACCCGATCCTGTTAATCGCCTAATACATACAAGCCATAGTTTAGGCAGCAGTGTCTGCAAGTAGTGAATCACAGTATCCACTGTACAACAGTGTGGTGACCTTACCTCGCCATTCTCAAGAGGTACGACCTTGGAGAACTCAGTTGTACAGAGGACTTGGTTGTCGCGGCCGATGCTGGTGTTGGCAGGGGTGTGGAAGAACTTGAGACAGTCACTTGGGGAATCGGCAAAATACTGCCAGGGTTGATAAGTTGAGCCAAAATCTGTGGATCTCTCCAGAACCCAGACTCCCGGCCTCGGGGAATTGGCCATCTTGATGAACACATAGGCGACATGGAACTCCTGAAATGAGAAAACATAATCTGAATAGTGGAAAGATATGAACCATTTATATCACCGTTCCTTTAAAAACCAACCTTAGTGCATAACTATTATGTGTGCACCATTTTTTTTTCAGGAGTTGCTGAATTAAAACCCCTTTGAACTTTATTTTGTTACACTTACAGCACATCAGATAACTGTTGGGGGAAATGCCAAAAGTTAGGCATGTTTGAGACATTTATCACGTTGGTGAAACCCACAAGCACAAGGCTGATTCTGACAAACCTAGAAATATAATCGGATCACCGGAATTCAAACACAAGATCACTGGTGTGCCCAAGGGACACAACTCTGCGCAGCCAATTTCTGTGCCTCAGACAACTGGGCCAACTATGTCTCCTTTCAATGCATGCAGCCTTCATTCCTCAAAATTACCTCTAAGGAAATGATACACCAATAAATCATGGGGTATAAATCTTTAACTAATTGTTTGCCTTGGACATTTTGCACACTATGATATGAACACTGGCAAAACATTAATTTGTGTACATAAATCTAACTTGTTTCAGTTTGCATTTTGCTCTCTCCTTTACAACAAAAATACCTTTTGATACTGAGTAAAAATTAGAAAGATGGATTCAGCATGCGATCACCTGTAGTATTTTAAATCAATTACAAAATGACAAAACATAAACGTGACTGAATGGTACCAAGTTCCTTCAGCACAATTGACCTTCACAGCAATTACTTTTCTCTGATATCAGTTTAATAGCGTGTTATGAAAATCACTGACAAGTCTATACTGTATACGGACAGGTTTTCATGACAAGTTCAGTTTGATCCATAGAAGGTAATAATATTATGACTCAGTTTAAAATCCAGCCAACTCCTGTGCTTGAACAAGTCGAATGGCTGGTCCATAAGAAAACATGACATAACTGACATGAGACTAATAAAATTTTAAACACAATTACTTCACCAGAACAAAATGTTTGGCACTTCTGAAATTTATTTCATTACACATATTCAAGTGAGTGAGTGAGTATGGTTTTTACGCCGTTTTTAGCAATATTCCAGCAATATCACGGCGGGGGACACCACAAATGGGCTTCACACATTGTGCCCATGTGGGGAATCGAACCCGGGTCTTCGGCGTGACGAGCGAACGCTTTAACCACTAGGCTACCCCACCGCCCCCTACACATATTCAAGAGTTAAGATGATTATACTCACTAAATGTTTGATTACACACTTCCATCAATGACATAATTAATTGTGTGTACGTGTGAAGCTAGCAGCCCACCATGAATAGTATCTTTCATGGACACTAACATATTAATCTGCTTAGCTAGATCTCAGCATGCTAAGTGTGTATTGTCAATCATTTTCACAGCACTGCAGGTGCCCCATGGGGATGTAAGAAAAGACTGTTCATTCAACCTGTGTATCTCACTTATCAGGTGTTGGATGAGGTTCCACCCTGATCTTCCCTGAAGAAGGGGCACCTGTTGTCAAGGCCCATCACCTGTAGATGATATCGTTATCAATGTGACAGGGGGACCACCCTTTAGTCAATTAGCCCCCTACCCCCTTTTCAAAGAAAGTTCACTTATCTTGGGGTCACCAAGCTCTGTTGAGGAGAGAAATTAAGCCCAGAAGCTTTTGTTCCATCTGACATGGGTCAGGTAGCGCTCTGCTAGTGAGGCAAGTCACACAATGGCCCGTCTTTGTGGCTAGGGGAGTTGACATGGGTCGATTTCAGCCAGACTGGTCACTGTCAGAGGCTTACTCCCAGTTTACAGGATTAACTAGGGGGGATATTTTTTTATTGACTGTTGCTTGACATAGATGGGATAGATTTCTCGCCATCTTCACAGAGCCATGCTATCTGGTCAAACGGAGTGTGGGAAGGGAACTGGATCATCCTAGGGACAGTGTCTACATATCACAGATGAACAAGGACATTTTGGGACACTGACATTTAGGACATCTATTTTATCCTATTTCATGATAATGCTCGACATCAATGAACTGTATGTGATTAACTATTGCAGTCTCATGTACTACCATACTCATGTACAGATTGTATATATTGTCAAAACAGTACAAAATACGTTATTCTTTTGTTTACTATGATCACATATTTTTCCTTGCACTTCCTACACAGTACATGAGTGAGTGAGTGAGTTTAGTTTTACGCCGCTTTTAGCAATATTCCAGCAATATCACGGCAGGGGACACCAGAAATGGGCTTAACACATTGTACCCATGTGGGGAATCGAACCCAGGTCTTCGGCGTGATGAGCGAACGCTTTAACCACTAGGCTACCCCACCGCCCCTTACACAGTACATGAAGTGTTTAGATGACATCATAGTACTTGTTACACTTACCACACAACATAGTAACCAGAGATATCAGAATAGGCATATTCTTCAAGATTCCAAACTTTCATCATCATTAATGTAGAACAGTTATTTGACACTTACTTGATCTGAAGAGTACACAGATATGAGAAGAAAGTGTATGCAAACATGTTGCACAGTTTAAGAAAGAAGTTTTTAGGAATGTAAACTTTTAAAGGAAGTTGTAACAATATCAAGGGTATATGTGGTTTTATGTACCTATGGCTCATAATATAAAACCCAATACGGGCCACATATAACTCAAGTAATACTGGTACAATGAATATATTTCAATCTGTTATTGTAAAGGATTAAAACAAAATGACAACTGATGGAAAACATTTGTTAGATTGAACTGTGTTTAACTGATGCTATGAAACATGACTTTCACTGACTGGAAAGCGGTTTGGAGACTTCTGATTCGTTGCAGGGAATAAGGAATTTTTTCTCATGATTACAAATCCACATGCTTTTACTTTGTGGCAGGGTACAAGTCATTTATTGTCCTCCTCAGAAGTGTATTTCCCTCCGAGGCACAATGCATAGTATTTAATTAAGATCACATGAACCAATTAGATCAACATTCTGACATGGAATTATGATAAACTACACAATTTATATACCGAACACTAAGATATAACTATGTATGCTACATTTAGCCTCTAAACTGTCAAAACCCATGAACATCTGGGTAAGAATTGGTCTTCAGTAACCCATGCTTGTCGTAAAAGGCGACTAACAGGATCGGGTGGTCAAGCTCGCTGACTTGGTTGCGTAGATTGATGCTCAAGATGTTGATCACTGGATTGTCTGGCCCATACTCGATTTTTACAGATCCCCGCCATAGAGCTGGAATGTTGCTGAGTGTGGTGTAAAACTAAACTCACTCACTCTAAACTGTCAAATTCCCAGTTAACAGTTGTATGACACTTAGTATTGCCAGCTCATGTCCACATTTAGTCAGCTGTGATAGTAACGACAGCTCATGACCACCATGGTGGAGAGCTAGTAACTGCAGCCATCAATGACTGTCACACACTACGCCTACATTTGTACTGGCAGAATGTGTGGCACTTCACACACAAAGCCAACAGTGGTTGACTTGTGCCTCTACAGAAGCAGCCAGCCAGCCAGGAAGGAGTGTGGAGCCACTCAGTGAATGTGTCAGGCTTCTCACTCGTTATACAGTTTTCCTACTTCACAAACCAGAATGGAAAAAAAGACACTCCCTACCACAGAAAGGCAAATATACTTAATCATGCGAATACAAGCAGATATTTCATTGATAAGTGTTAACTGGGACATAACGTTGTTATACACTACTCTCATCTTAAAGTAGAGCATTTATCCAGCGTGTATTAAGTAGGACTTTTCTATTATTATTTAATCTTTTTAACCTTTATTTTGTACATGATTTAACAAGGTGAAAAGGTCTCATTTCTCAACAATTTGGCAGCAGACGACCTGTATTTTTAAGTGGTGTGTGTAATGACATTAGGATATCAGATTCATTACCTGTAACATTACAATGTTGACTTCACAAGCATGGTCTATAAAAGCTTGTTTTTAAACGGCACTTTTCTCTTCTTAAAAGTTTAAAATTAAAAAAAAGTCCCACACTAACATTTCCCCACAACCACTTTTCCCAATTTTAATATAATCCATATAATCTATCATATGTTTAAGGAAAAAAAGATGTTATGCAAAAAACATGGAAAGTTCAGTGTGTTCCCTCTTCACACTTCTGAAAGGTCACCACTAGTGGTCAGTGGTTACACTGAGTGAACTGTGACCGCAACACCTCCCCGTGGACCTTTCAAAAGGAGTAATCTGTGGCTAGACAGGGGTAAATATCGTGGGTAATTGTTGCCCAATAAGTAGTGCTCACTAAATCAAACTGCTGAGCTGAACAAGGGCGCAAGTCAGTCTGAACATCAATTTGGATTAGCTAAAGTACACTGTCTGCTACCAACATTCCTGAACAGGTGCCCCATATGGTAGTGCTGTTGGTCAAAGGTCCTGAACTTGTCCAGAACATGTGTGAACAATACTATATAAATAATCTACCAGTCGTGAGTAGAATTTCAACATCAGCAGTATTTTAATGAGATGGACATAACAAAGGGCTGTAATGCATGTAATGATGGCACAAAGGGAGCCCTATCCCTTTGCTCAGATAACAGTGTCATCAAACATGACACGGTTAGGAGTCAAATGCCGAACATAACAAATTTAACTGACAACCTTCCTTTCCAGAGAGCTTCAAAAGCACTCCTCCTTTGACGAGAAATACACAGAAGGTGAGTAACAGGAAAACAAAAACTTTTAAAAATGACTCCTTTAAACATTGAAAACTACAATACATATTGTTTGTGTTGAAAGAAACCTATGGGAGTGAGTATGTGTTTATGATGATTTTACAATACCATAGTGGAGGACACCAGAAATAGGCTTCACAGATTATACCCATGTGGGAAATTGAACCTGTGTTTTTAGAGTTGCAAGCAAACGCTCTAACCATTAGGCTATCCCACCACCTGAGGAAGGTGTGGAAAAGCTTAACTGTTTTAACACTCATCTGTGTTCACAAACTATTGATTTTCATTTTTAAAAAAAC